ATAAAAATGGAAAGAGCTAGAATGACATATTTGGGTTTCAGTTTTCAAACCACAGCTTTACTTCTGAGCAGACCCATTTGAAACAGTTGTTGAATAATGTAATAAGAAAATATGGTGTGGGGATTTCATCTCTTGTTTGTTCAGAAAAAGCAACCTATTATTTTAGTGTTATTTGAGACTGCTACTGCAGTCTATGTGTCTTCTTTTCCAAGGAAAGTTTTCCAGTCGGTTACCAATTCCCTTTGCAATTAAACTTCTGTTCCCAGTAAGTTTATCCAAGACAGCTCTATCAATTACCTAGAACTCTCTGGGCCAAGAAGAGAGGGAAAGATGACTACTCTCGAGGCTTGGACCCTGAGGATGAAAGCAGAACACTCGCCATCAAAATTATGTCAATATTGGTTCAGGCAACTGATTGCTCAAAGTATTTTATAAAGTTCTGTGGGTTAAATCCAATTGTTATTTACATAAATATTAACCCACTCATCTTTCAATTGACTGACTGTTTCTACTCTGTAAGCCCTATAGCAACTTGAATCTAGGTTTTTCATAATTTTAACTTAATGCACAAAACATTTGTTCATGTTTGTTTCCAGCATAAAAATGAGTTTGCCATTCAGGAGAGGAAACCCAATACTGTTAATGTCTAGCTGTTTTCTAAGTCTGTCATTCCAATGACACTCATTATATTTTATACTCCTCCTTTCTGAATGTGTAGTCATCTCTTCCCAGAATGCAAATGGAAGTCGTTAGTCTGCTTGGGGGGCAGATGGGCTTCTGTTGTAAAAATTGCTGTTGTTTCTTTCACCCTAAATTTTTACCCAGATGCTGGTTTCTAGGGTATAAGTCATGGATTCAGTTTCAGTTCTAGAATTTAAATCATGAATTTCTTCACAAGTGTAAACATATTGATATAAATGGTTACTCTGGTTACTATTTGGTCTATTTCTTTAAAAATAGGTTATACTTGTCTATTGCTACATTACAATTATGAGACTCCTCTCACCAGGTTTCAGTGATATTATATCATATCATATCTGCTTTCCTGTGTTAAAGTTCATCTTATTTCTCATGCTTTGTACCTTGGGGAGACAGTATATCTCTTTTTTATTTTTTTATTGCAATGGTATCCATCTAACACATAGAAATAAACTTACTTTATCTACATCCATAAACCATTACATTTTTGCCCCCATCTGTAATCGAGGGCATCCCAGGCCCCTGTCTTTAAGCTGGTTTGACCTGCAGCAGGGAGCTCCACAGTTCCTGATTGCCAGGTTGGGCCAAACTAATGAAATGTGCCCCAGCAGCAGCCTCAACCAGGGACTCTTCCCAGCCGTGTGCTTTCTCCTTTCACTTCTTTGCTAGTTCCAACTATGTAACAAATCCCTAAATAAAGATTGATCAAATTGCAACTTTTAAACTCTCTAGCTTGATACTTCGTGTTTCTTCCTTGCCTGAGACTATCTAAATGCATGAAACTAACCTTTTCCAGGCCGCGGGAGACTGCAGGCCTGCCCGGAATGCCTTCCTGGCGTTCCGAGGAGGCCGAATCTGCGCTCCTCCAAACAGCGGATACGGAAACCCCCAGGGCCTCCTGTATCTGCGAGATGGTGGATCGCCTCCATTTTGATGGCATATTTTTCCTAGCTTAATTCTAACACTGCTATCTCGCTTTTTGCATTTCGGGCTTCTACGCTCGGGAAATAACCTTTTAAGTTTTGAGAATATAATTTCAAGGAAACAGCTTATTGTCAAAAGACTGGCCTCGCTGCTGCCGCGCTGCCACTGCCTCTTGCCGCTTCCTCGCCTTTGCCAGGCCTCTGCCCTGGAGACACAGTGCGGCTACCTCACAAGGCTTTCGGGGAACAGCCTGGCTTTGGCGCCCCAGCCCTTGGAGGGAGTTTTAGTTTCCCCAAGGACCAAGGACTTGATCTCAGCACTGCAGGACTCCATCCTTTGGCTCAGTGGAAATCTCCAGACTCCCTTTGTGACTGTTGGACTCTCTACAAAACATTTCAGACTCTAAGGAACTCATTTTCACATATGGATTTCCCCCGTATGAACTATGGACACATTTTCTTCTGAAATTATTATTCTAATCAATTTCTCTGGCGGGTGGAGGAGGGAGGGAGGGAGGTGTTTGGTATGAATTTCTTATGATTCCCATATTTCCCCATATATTTTCCCTCATATTTTTGACCTGGCTCTGAACCCTTTGCCCCTTTCCCCCTCCCCTTGGGGGAAATCAACCAGGAAGCTGCCAGCTGTTTTGAAAAGGCAATCAGTAATCACAAAAGAACCCTTATCTTGATACTCATGCATGGAAACATAGAAAGCCTTTTGTTTGGTCTCGGAGTCAGCCCGCCAGACAAAAGAATTCATTTGACAAACTACTGATCACTTCGCACTGGGGGCGGAAGACCCCCAAAAAGTCTTCTCCCTCCGAAACTGGTTTTTTTTTCAAAACTCTTCACTGTGGACATTCACCCCAGTCTCTTAATTGTGTCATATCTGATGGCGACACGAAAACCCGGATTAAGTAATCATTATTAAACCCACCCATCAAGGGACAATAGACATGGCTTCTTTTGCAGGCTGGTTTGTGGACTCGAGGGCCCCAAGGCATCAAATTTCTATAATCCACTCATGAACGCATTGTTTCTTCTTCGTCCCGCCTCCCCTCTTCCTGATTCGCCAGAGCGCTGAGGTGGTAGGAGCTTTCTGATAGGCTCTTGCACAGCAGAGGAGCTCCGTGATTAGCTCTGGTGCAGGGAGGGTGGCTGCGCCTCCTTCCAGCTGTTATCGTGTCAACCAATCACCTTCGAGCTGGGAGGAGGGCAGAGAGCGGGAATTTTGAAACTTCTGAGCCTGTATTTCCTATAAAAATGCCTCTGATCTCTGTAACGACATGCTCTGAAGGTGAATGATTGCTACATTGCATCCTTTTCAGCTGAATCGCTAATAAAACACCTCGGTGCTGCTTCTTCAACTTTGATGAGATTTCTTTTGGATTTTTAAGGAGAATAAAATTGCTGAAATCAGGCTTCTCTTAGCTCGCCAAAGTAGCGATCCCTCTTTGGTGGGGTCTCAGGGTCTCTCTTCCTGGGGCATACCCTCCTAAAGTTCCTATCGACTTCACTCCCCCCCCCCCAACTTCGACTGTGTCAAAAGCCTTTGCAAGGTCCTTCGGTTCTCTGAAACTTTAGTTGCAAAACCTCTATTTACTGGGGCTGAATTATTTTTCATTTGTTTTATTAATCCACAATATTTGTATCACACTCCGGAGCTCTGGGGAATGCTGTCAGCAGACCATTCTCCTAGGCTACGCCACCAACACCTTCCCGTTCTGGAGTTCCCTGAGCTAGACCACAATGTCTAAACCTTGCAATGTCTTCCACCAAAATGTGCTCAATATCCAAATGTCTCCAGCACCAGTAGTGTCCTACATCTCCAATGTTTTAAATCAGCACCAGCATGTGCTCAACACTGCTTCCTGGCACCAGTGGGCTCAACACCATGTTTCCTGGCACCAGAGTGTGCTCAACACCAATGTTTCCTGGCACCAGCGTGTGCTCCAACATCAATGTTTCCTGGTACCAGCATGTGCACAAACACCAATGTTTCTTGTCATCAGAGTGTACTCAACAAACCAAATGTTTCCTGGTATCAGTGTGTGCTCCAACACCAATGTTTCCAGGCACAAGAGTGTGCTCAACACACCAATGTTTCCTGGCACTAGAGTGTGCTCAGCACACCAATGTTTCCTGGCACCAGAATGTGCTCAGCACACCAATGTTTACTGGCACCAGCATGTGCTCAGCACCAATGTTCCCTGACACCAGCGTGTGTTCCAACACCAGTGTTTCCTGGCACCAGTGTGTGCTCAACATACCAATGTGTTTAAGCAGCAATGCTTATGAATTGCCCTAGTGGCCATGTGGCCCACCCCATTACCATGCTGATAGGACAGTGCCTTCCAGATTTTAGCCAAATACCTCATCCTGTCTCCCTTTCCTTATCTCTCTGTTTAGCCAATTCTGTCATGGGAAACTATGAGGGACACCGGGAAAGCAGGTGTGGCCACCACAACCGATTTATGACTGCAAACCTGCCAAGTTTCAGAACATTTCAACAATCCATTTAAAAAAGTTTTTGCCATAACTTAAAAAAAAAACCAACCCCACAAGAAGGGGCTCTGGGAACTGAATTCCCAACCAGCATGCTCCACAAGAAGGGGGGAGAATGGACACAGTAAGCCAGGCTTCTAAATGGCTGAGAAAGAAATGTGAGAAACAGAGAGAAACCTCAACTCCCATCATGCCCTGGGAGAGAGTGCAGAGGCTACTTTAATGCCTGTAGTGCACAAAGTGCTGCTGGGAAATCAAGTTCCCAGTGGCGCCCTCTCTGGATGAGAGGCCGAGGGCCGACTTTGCTGTCTTTTCTCACTGGCTCCAGCCTTATTTGCCTCAAAGGGCAGGGACTGAAGAGGCTGCAGGGAAAGAAAGAGGAGGAGCTGACATCACCAGGTGCCCACTCTTGACAGATTTGCAAGGCCACCCACACGCCCCATCGCCCCCATTAGCCGAAAGATCCGGCTGCTCATGATCCATTCCAGTTAAGGCTTCAGCTGGGTCCCACCCAGTCTGTTTTCAGCGATCCAGCGGCTGGATCTTAATCACCAAACAGAATTCTGCACACCCCTATTATTTTGCATCAGGCCATCAGGGATATAGCTGCTGCTGCAATCCTGCCCGCTTTCTAGAAAGCACAGAATGACCATGCAGATGGTTTCAGAGGCTTTTCTTTTGGGGATCTGAGGAAGGAGGAAGAGAATACTAACCCTTGCAGCAACCCAGAAAGGGCACTAGACAAAGGAAGGAAACAAACACCTGCACATATCCCTAGCAAGATTCCGGTCATTATTTGTTTTTCAATTAATCTGGCAATTTGTACACTGTTCGTACATTATGAGCTACAGATTATGAGTAAACAGCATAATTATTTAGCTAATTTTAATGAATATTTTGTTGCAGAATAGAAATATAAAGGCACACCCTAATTTATTTTGACAAAACACTGTAGAATTAAGGCATCTCCATGTACTTATGCTATTCTCTTCACAAATACACTTGCATAGTTGACAGAGAAATATGGCAGAAGCAAAAAACAAGATATAAAAAGGACAATTTACAAACATACCCACATTATTAATGGAAAAGAGCAAAGCATCTTTGATACAAAATATTTCAGACCAAGTCCAAACTGATATAACATTTCTTCTGAATCAAAACAATTTTTGTATACATTTTAATGGTCCATGAGGAATTTAACATTATGTAATCCTTATGATTATTTTCTGTTCATAAATGAAAAACTGGGGGTAACTTTATTTTGCTGTTTTAGATTATGTAATGCAATACTTCAAGAATAAAGGCTCACTAGATCAAATAGAGTAGCATATGTTTGTAGTTTCAGAACCTCTGTTGATTTCAATGCACATTTCATAAATCAGAGAATTTCAGCCAGAGAGTCAAATCCACAAACAAGACAACACATGACAAAAAGACATTCTTTGAATGGAACTGATTTAGTTCCACTGAAATGAGAATCACTTGGCTCTTTAATTCGGCTTTTTCAGAACCTTATAGATCAGTCTTCATCAGATTTACAATTTCAACTAGAGAAAGTGGTTTAAATCACAAGCACTTTTAAAAATGAGTTTCTACTGAAAGGCCTAACTCAAAGCTAGAGCAGACCCAGTGAATCAATGAAATTCACAAAGGCTTTCAGCAAGTTTCCATTTATTCAGTGAGCCACTTCTAGATATCAGCCAGCATTTTCTTGTGTGTGTTTTAATTTTGAACTTGCAAATAATTGAGGAACTTCTGAAATTTGGATAATTTTTGAAGAATAAAAACAGGAGAAATTAGCAGATTCACTGGCAAGTACTTTTATACAGTGATGAAAACAAAGATGCTATGCCAGTGGTTTAATATCCATTTTGAATATTAAAGGTGATATTGTATGTGCCATAATGATACTTAAATAGGTCATACAAAGATAATCCTCAAATAGTTTTGATGATATTGATTTACATAAAGGGAGTAAACCTTTACTTACATAGTTTACATGTTATGTCTTATAATTTTAATTTATTTCCAGATGGAATTATAACTTTATTTGTACATTTCCAATTAATTAAAAAATGAAACATTCAATCTCTCTTCATTAAGCGTACTTTCAGGAAGTACTTCCTATTACATGTTCCCCCATGTGAACATGTAAATATGGGCTACAGGCTGAAATGCCTAATTGTTAATGTGATCTGTGGTTCAATAAATGTTTTTCCCTTGTGACTTCTGATTATTGTTTCAGTTCTTCAGTTCTCTTTCTGTGGATTCTGCTTTTTTGCACCAGGACGGACAAGCCGTGTTCTTCTCCGCGGTGATCCTATTGACCCAACCCAAAATTACAAAAGTTAAAAATGTTCCACGATGAATTACAAATTTTAATATCTCCTCCACAAATAAATAAATATGGAAAAGTTCAGGAATACAGTGGTTAATGGTGGGAGTGCTGGGAACAGTTATTTATCAAAATTTGCAGAGCACCAAATTTCCAATCCCCTAGCTCTGCTGATTCTTTCCTAGAGACGATACTCCCTCATTTTAGTAGTTGTGTATCAGAAGAACCAAAATCTCTTTTATGGCAATCTTCTTAGAATATTATTGTTTCATTATATAATGTATGTTCAATCCAGTATATGCAAAATCTGCAGTTACTCAAAGAACATTTCACATATCTCTGCCATAAATAATTTTCCCTGTGAATACCAGTTAACACCAGACCTTGGTGTTAACTTGCACAGTTGCACAGTTGCACAGTTGCACAGTCTGCAGTTTACTGTGTCTGGGGAATTGAGTTATTGTTCAAAATGTAATGCCTCCAAGCTGTATATATACATAATTAATTACTTGTAACTACTGTATACATTTGTGAGCAAGACATTTTTTGGCAAAACATCAGTTCCCCAAAGGGTCAATTTATTCATGGATCAGTGGTGGACAAACTCTTTGATCTCTCATTTGGTGCACTTGAAGTGGAGCAAAGCAGTGACAGACATTTTAAATAGAGGCATACTATAATAAGCATTTGGGACCTTGGAAGTCTCTCTGCAAGCCTCCCAAGACAGGTAGTGAGTTGGCAATAAACCTCTGTTTTAAAAAGCGGGTACTACTCCTCTCCACCTCAAGTGCACAAAATGGTAAGGAGCAGACTGGTGCATAGATTGGTTTTGGCCATTTGAAATAATTTTTATTAGAAACAATAAGATTGGTTTTGCATTACAATAAAACATTTAAAGAAAAAAGGATAGAGAAAAGGATAAGGAAGAAAGAGCGAAGAAAAGCCAGAAACAGAGAGAAGAAAGGGAAGAGAAAAAGAAAAAAGTGACAAAAGAATTTTGTTATTGACTTCCATCCGTTGTTTCATTGTTGATTTCTTAAGACTTTGTCCTGTTTTTGTTCTGTTTCTTTATTTTTCCCATACTTTACATCTTTTATTTGAGAACCCCTATTTTATAATCCATTATTTTCTCTTCTATATTATTAGTTCTATTTTTAATTGCTTAAAATAGTCCTTAACTTCATCTCAGTCCATCTGTTTATTGGGCATTCCTTGGTTTGGTGTTATCCAGTATGTAAGTTTATCCATATATGAATATGGATATTTTTAGTACCTTATTTTGCCAATCCTCTAATATAGGCACTTCCTTAAGTCTCCAATTCCTCATATACACAATCCTAGCTGAGGTACTCAAATAATTAAACAGTTTTTTTCATTTCTGGGTCCAGCATCAGTAATAAAAAAATATTCAGGTTCCATTTTCATTTTAAACTTTCATATTTTTTGAATTTCCCAATTGATGTCTTTCCAGTTTTTCTTCCACTTTTTTGCATGTCCACCAGGTATGGAAGAAAGTACCTGTTGTTGTTTATTCATTCAGTTGCTTCTGTCTCTTCGTGACCTCATGGACCAGCCCATGCCATAGAGCTCCCTGTAGGCTGTGGCCACCCCCAGTTCCTTCAAAGTCAAGCAAGTTACTTCAAGCAAACCATCCATCCATCTTGCCCTTGGTCTGCCCCTCTTTCTTTTTCCTTCTATTTTACCCAGCATCATTGTCTTCTCCAAGCTTTCCTGTCTTTTCGTTATGTGACCAAAGTACTTCATCATTGCCTCTAATATACTTTCCTCCAGTGAGCAGTCAGTCTTATTTCCTGGAGTATGGACTGGTTTGATCTTCTTCTAGTCCAAGGCACTCTCAGAACTTTCCTCCAGCACCATAGTTCAAAAGCGTTTATCCTTCACTCAGCCTTCCTTAATGGTCCAGCTCTTACATCCATACGTTACTATGGGGACTACCAATGCTTTAACTATGCGGATCTTCGTTGCCAGAGTGTTGTCTCTACTCTTCACTATTTTATCGAGATTGGTCATTGCTCTCCTCCCAAGAAGTAAACGTCTTCTGATTTCCTGGCTGCAGTCTGTGTCTGCATAATCTTTGCGCCTAGAAATACAAAGTTTTTCACTGCCTCCACGTTTTCCCCCTCTATTTGCCAGTTATCAATCAGTCTGGTTGCCATAATCTTGGTTTTTTTTAAATGTTTAGCTACAACCCAGCTTTTGCACTTTCTTCTTTTGCCTTGGTTAGAAGGCTTCTCAGCTCCTCCTCGCTTTCGACCATGAAAGTGGTATCATCTGCATATCTACGGTTGTTAATGTGTCTTCCAGCAATTTTAACTCCAGCCTTGGATTCATCAAGCCCTGCATGTCGCATTATGTGTTCTGCATACAAGTTGAATAGGTTGGGTGAGAGTATACAGCCCTGCCGTACTCCTTTCCCAATCTTGAACCAGTCTGTTGTTCTGTGGTCTGTTCTTACTGTTGCTACTTGGTTGTTATACCTCAGGAGACAGACAAGGTGACTTGGTATGCCCATACCACCAAAAACTTGCCACAACCTGATGACCTGAACATTATGAAACTTGGTGGGCCAGCAGTGGCCCTGCAAGTGTGGGCATTTTCATCTCAATAGCCTTAAAAATTATGGGAATGGGAGCCTGTGAAGCCCCCTCCCAATTGCCACCAATGGGCTGGATCTAGCCATATATTCTGGCTGCGGATGGAAAATGGGAGGCATACAAAAATGGATCGGTGGGTCCCCAAGATGCGGATAGCAGAAACGGGTTGAGGTTCAACTGAAATGCACAAGCCTCTTGGATTCATCACTTACGCTTGAGGCTCAGGCGTCGGCGATGGCCGGGAGGGCTTTTTTCACAATTGACACGTGCGCCAACTGTGGCCGTACCTCGTAAAGGCTGATCTGGCCGGGATGGTCCATGCCTTGGTCACCTCTAGATTGGACTACTGTAATGTGATCTACGTGGGGCTGCCCTTGAAAACGGCTCAGAAATTCCAACTGGTCCAACGGGTGGTGGCCAGGTTGTTAACTGGTGCTCCTTACAGAGAGAGGTCAACCCTCCTGTTTAAGGAGCTCCATTGGCTGCCGTTCATTTTCCGGTCCCAATTCAAGGTGCAGGTGCTCACCTACAAAGCCCTAAATGGTTTGGGACCCACCTACCTGTGTGACTGCATCTCCGTATATGAACCCACACAATCCCTCCGTTCATCTGGAGAGGCCCTGCTCATGATTCCACCTGCGTCTCAAGCGCGTTTGGTGGGGACGAGGGACAGGGCCTTCTCTGTGGTAGCCCCCTGACTCTGGAACTCTCTCCCCAAGGACATCAGATAAACCCCAACATTGGCAGTCTTTAGGAAGAGCTTGAAGACCTGGCTGTTCCAGTGTGCCTTCCCAGAATAGGAAACTCCCAGCATCATGTCCCAAACGCACTTTATTAGAGATTTAAGATTACCTGCACATCGCACGTACCCTAAAATCCTTACATTTCACCTGTCATGTCCAGCACTTTTAATTTTAGTCATTACATTTGGCATGGCCCTAGTTTTAAATGTGTTATGATGTATTGTTTTTAATGTTTTATTGTTATTGCTTTTCATGTTTATTGGTTTGCTTTATGAGTTTTTTGTTGTATTTGTTATGCTGTTGTTTTATTGAGGGCCTTGGCCTTTGTAAGCCGCACCGAGTCCTTCGGGAGATGTTAGCGGGGTACAAATAAAGTTAATAAATAATAAATAGTTAATAAATAATAAGGAGCACGAAGCTTATGCAGTAAGCCTCTATTAAAAATGTTCACTGCATCTCTGCTACAGCTCATGGACCCATACTGGTGGATGTGCTATAGTCTCTAGACTTCCCCACATTGTTGCAGAACACCACTTGAGTAGAAAAAGAAAGTGAGGAAGGATACAGAGCATTCTTTCTTTTTCCAGTTTGAGCAATGGAGGGTAATGGGATGGGAGTACTTCTTGCCTCTGCTTTTTGTGCCTGCCTTCGCACTGTGTCCCAAAAAGAGGCAGCCCCCTTTTCTTGCTCTTCTGTCCCCATTTTTTTCCAGGCCACATTCTCATTCTTTTCCTTTATTCCTTTCCCTTTCTGTATTTATATAGATGCAGATATTTTAAGATAATCAATGCAATGTACGCTCCTCAGTTGTAACTTCTCAATTAAACAGATCCTCTCTTTCTCTCTACGCATTTTTGAAAAGAAAGGAAAATTGTTTGCTTTGTGCAAGAACAAATGTATAAATGTTCTTATTGCACAATTATAACTGTAACTAAATATTTTTAAAAGTCCCTTTCCAAGCTTGAATTAAAAAGGCTTGCTTTTTCAAATTAAACTGTACATAAAGAATGTCCAATCATGCTTTCAATTAGAATGCACATCCAATTAAGCATTTTAATGATATATTTAGAATTTTTCAAAGGTGTAAAAGTTATAACCTCACCCTTCTTACCTTGCATCCTTCTGGATGTTTGTATTTTCCTTACAGGTGTTTCTGAAAAAGAAAACATACATAATTTATAATAAGGATTTGCTGCAGACAATAAACACTCTCCCTAACCATTGTTTTTTGGAATTAAATTACTTCTTATGTTGACTTTTTAGGACATTGGGGTTATAACTATATACATGCATATATTTTACCACTTCTAGTTCATTGGTAATGGTGCTAATGTATCCTATTCAATTGAGTCAGAATGCAATTTTAAAATGCTGCTTAATTGACTTGACGGCCCATAACCCCCTTTCAACTATGAATCTGCATTCATGCTGGTCAGAGAACCACCACTTTAACCTCAGCTATAAAACATATCTCCTTATGACTTATGATAAATTAAATGTACTAATTTAAAAGTACAAACTTATATTGCACTAGCTGTCCCCTGCCACACGTTGCTGTGGCCCAGTCTGTTGATCTGGAAAATAAAGTAATGAGAACGTGTTGGTTTCTAATACAGTATATGTAATTTCTTTATGCTTGTGGATAAACAGTATTTCTTGGTGTTTCTTTGTCAGTGTTGATGTGGAGAGTGTCTGGTTTGCCTACTCTGGAATATGCAACAGATCATGGTCCTTCTTTAGGGGTCCCTTTCAAATCTATGATACTATATCTCTCTGTGTGTGAATCATATCTATCTATCTATCTATCTATCTATCTATCTATCTATCTATCTATCTATCTATCTATCTCTATGGCTGGATGGCTCTTTGTCAGGAGGGCTTTGAATATGTTTTCTTGCCCTGATGAAGGGAGTTGGATTGGATGGCCTTAAGTACCGCCCTGAGTCGCCTTCGGGCTGAAATGGGTGGGATAGAAATAATGTAAATAATTAAATAAATAAATAATTAAATAAATAAATAAGTATTTTCTGTTGGTCATGGGGGTTCGGTGTGGGAAGTTTGCCCCGATTCTGTCGTTTGTGGGGTTCAGAACACTCTTTGAATGAAGGTGAACTGTGAATCCCAGTGACTACAACTCCCAAATATCAAGGTCTATTTCCCCCAAACTCCATCTGTGTTTATATCTGAGCGTATTGAGTGCTTGTGCCAAGTTTGGTCCAGATCCATCATTGTTTGAGTCCACAGTGCTCTTTGGATGTAGATGAACTGCAACTCCCAAACTACAACTCACCAAACCCGTCCAGTATTTTCTGTTGGTCATGGGAGTTCTGTATGTCAAGTTTGGTTCAATTCCATCGTTGATGGAGTTCAGAATGCACTTTGATTGTAGGTGAACTATAAAGCCCAGCAACTACAACTCCCAAATGACAAATCATAATTTTTTGAGTGATGGTCACTCCTTGTGTTGTGAGATGTTTTGTTGCCAAATTTGGTGTGATTTCATTCATTGGTTCTTTTGTTTTTAAGGAACTCATTATGCACAGAACATTTTATATATATAGATTTATCATAAGTCATAAGCAAAGAGTACATGATCACAAGAACCATGTGTACCATACACTTTATATGATATATGATCAGACTACAAAAGATCTAGATTACTATATAATGTAATATATTGGCACTGGAAATATTTATTTGCATTTATTGTTATTGTAATTAAATATAGGTTTGGAATTCTGCATTGTCAATGTCACTGTGATAAGTCTTGAAATGTTTCTGAAGCACTGGAAATTGGGGCATTGAATAATGGCATCTGCAGTGCCTTTCAGTCATGGGACCATGGAGCACACCATGCACAGGTAGCTGGAAAGACCCCCTTGGGTTCCTGCCACAAATGATTCCTCCAAGGTGCCTTGTAACTGGGAGAGGACTGCAGACAGTACTTTCATCACAAATGGCTTGGTTAAACTACACCAAGCTGCAAAAGTAAGGTCACTGTAAATGTGAATCCAAGCAATTACATGTTATGATCTTGTAACTGCTGAACAGGTTGTCAGACACATTATTATTTATTTATTTATTTTGAACATTTATATCCTGTCCTTCTCAGCCTCCTGAGGGGTGGGGGGAGGAGACTCAGGATGACTCACAACCAGCAATCATTAGATGCCCAATGAGCAGTAGCAATAAAATTGCAGTTAAAATATTAATTAAAACAGTAAATTTAAAAGTCTGCCTTTGGGTTTTCATGGTGCTACACATAACTATCATTTTCTACTTGGTTTCCCATCAACATTTTTCAGTTATACCCAATTTCTGCTCCACATGCTACTGCCACTGATGTCCTGAGAGTTTGGAAATGTGATGTCACCAGATTATGATGGCACTACAGTTATTGTAATATTTTTTCAACCTGACAGGATTGGAAACTTCTGATTTTAAAATGAAACAAGTTTACATCATTAATTAAAACAGTAAATTTAAACATCAATATTAAAAGTTAACAAATCTAAGTACAAATACATATCCACATCCAAAGTTATAGTCTGAGGTATGTTCATTGTTGGTCAAATAAATTGTTTGCATTGTTATTGCTGCATCTGCTGCTCGAATGCTTGGCTCCACAACCATGATTTAAGCTTTTTCCTAAAGAATAGGAGAGAGGAGGCCAACCTGATTTCATTAGGGAGTGTGTTCCACAGAAGGGGGCCACCACCGATAAGGCCTTGTCTCTCATCTCTGCCAGTCACACTTGCGAGAGTGGCAGGATCGAGAGGTGGATCATAGAGGGAAATATGTTCAGACAAGTAAGCAAGGCCGGAACCATATATGAATGGAAAAGTCACTTAAAGTGTGCAATGCTTTTTTCTTATTTAAAACGCTCAATGTGTAGGTGCTCCATGGAATTTCACCATACACCAGTTGCAATATTTTTTATTTTGCTTGGATTTATACAGCAGCTATATATTTGTATATGTTTTTTACGCAACTGGTGATATTCATAGCACTGATGTTATAGATACAGACTTGCTTTAGTTGTATCCAAAAAATCAATTCGATGTGTACATGTTATGTTCAACACGCTCAATTCCATTACATACTTTCAGGTCATGTAGAATGTTGGGTACAAGGTCAACACATACCCCCCACCCCAACCTTTCTTTTCTTCCAATTTTATAATTCTAGAAAAGAGTTCTAGTCCAAGAAAGAAACAACTGTGAAAACATTTTATACCTTATTTGTTGTTGTTGTTGTTATTATTAATAATATTATTATTACCCCGCGTGACTCAAAGCTGCTTAACATAAAAGCATCAGCAGATTTCAGTTGTGACATGATATCTACAGCAACCATTGCTACCATCTATTAAACAGAATACAGATTGGGTTGTTGTAAGTTTTTCCGGGCTATATGGCCATGTTCTGGAGGCAATTTTTCTCCTGACGTTTCGCCTGCATCTATGGCAAGCATCCTCAGAGGTAGTGAGGTCTGTTGGAAGTAGGAAAAATGGGTTTATATATCTGTGGAATGACCAGGGTAATGTTTCAATTGATCACCTTGATTTGCATTCAATAGCCTGGAAGTGCCTGGGGGGAATCTCTTGTTGAGAGTGATTTTCTGTGCCTGTTTGTTTGTTTTGACAATACAGATTTCCAAGCTAGACAAGCAACTAGGCAGAAACTGTAGCAAGGGGGTTTGGCCTTAACAAATTTCCATGAAAATAATCATAAAGCTGTATCTACAACAACCTTGGGTATGTGGTTGGTCCCATAGAACTAACCTTCCAGATGAATTTTCTTTATTTCTGTCTCAACAACCTTTGGCTCTCTCTCAATTACTTTAGTAACCTTGGTGTACTCAGATCCAGCTATGATAAACATTAAAAACAACAATAAATTAAGAAGCAGATAGCATTTTGACAGAAAAACGATCCAGAGCGTGTATGCCTCATTTTAACAACTAAGGCTGGATACAGCTGCATTGTAAGAACTGACTGTTTCGAGGATCCATCTGTTTTAGGGATAGCAGCTATGCACTGTCATCTTCTGCCATGTCCCACAAAATGTATACAAGTACATGCACTTCCATACATTCAAATCACATCCATTTCAGGGTTCTGTGTCACAACTTGCAAACAGCTGGCTGTGTTGCTTTGGGCAGGAATAAAATTTTCTTCTATGGGCTTATGACATTTTCTGTTGGAAAGGGGGAAAATCTGGACGATGTCCAAAATGCCAGTGAGCCAATAAACACTACCTCTAAATTTTATGAGGTGAGTGTGTGTCTGAACCAGTGCACGTGTGTGGATCACATCAGGGCATGTGATGGCAGTCTGTGGGAAAGGGTTTAGAACAGTGGTTCCTAACCTTTTCTCCTACAGCTATTTTGGACCAGCTCCCACAATTCCCAACAGCTAAAAAGCTGGAGGACCAAAGGCTGAGAACCACTGGTCTAGAAAAATCAAAGTGGGGTGAGAAAACTAAGCATCAACAATGAAGGCAGTGCAATTGATAAGCTGACTCACTGAGTCCAAAATAAATAAAGCTAAACAACCAAACAAATCACAATGTAAAGAAGGTAAACATAAGTACCCAAATCATTCAGTGGGGTAAGGGTAAGATTTCTACTCAAAACTTCCTGACAGCATAAATATGCCAAAAAGTTGTGTTCTTTGTTACTGAAATTCTTGATTGGTTTCTTTATATTCAAGCAATGTTTCTGTTGTCTAGTCAACAACAACCACAAAGCCCTTGCTTTTGCATAGAAAATGACCTTATGTAGAAAATACTATTTTCTGCATAGTTTGTGCTACAGTGTTGCTTTTTCACAAATATGATGCCATAGAGGAATGGATGTGGCCTGAACATTACTTTGAGCTCTGCAAATGGATTCCAGGCTATAGCTGAAACCTGGGCTTCCATATTTAGGTCTGAGTACCTGTGCAAAGATTATAACTCAATCTCTCCTTATTCTCTATGTATCCCTATACTCACCTTTCCTGCACTTATATCCCTATACAAAACTTTCAGATGTTAGGTTGAAGGTTTCCCCCTGACATTAAGTCTAGTCGTGTTCGTTTCTGGGGGTTGGTGCACATCTCTATTTCTAAGCCGAAGAGCTGGAGTTGTCCATAGATGCCTCCAAGGTAATGTGGCCGGAATGACTGCATGGAGCACCATTACTTTCCCGCTGGAGCAGTACCTATTGATCTACTCACATTTGCATGTTTTCGAACTGCTAGGTTAGCAGAAGCTGGGGCTAACAGCGATAGCTCATGCCACTCCCTGGAGTCGAACCAGCGACCTTTCGGTCAGCAAGTTCAGCAGCTCACTGCTTTAACCCACTGCACCACCGGGGGCTCCTTCAGATGTTAGTAGCATCATTCATTCATTCTTGATGAAGACCTTGACAATGCTCAACTAGAATCAAGTTTTCCACAACTGGCCAATGTAATGACATGAAAATAAATGCTGAAAGGTACTTTTTATTTGTGATCTTTGCAATCCCCTTTTTAATACAATTTTTATGTACTACTCCCTCTGCTCCTCATCCCAATTCCTGATGAATTCTACCTGAGTGAAATGTCAAGATCTGGCTCAATGAAGAGCCAGTTGGCTATGACTGACTTTGCGATCTTCCAAATTTGCCACTTAGTTAATCATAGCAAAACTAAAGTGAAGTGGATTTGCTTCATTTGGAACAAGAATAACATCTGTAGTCTGAAGTTTAAGAGGCGGGGTTTTGGTAAACTTTGCCAACTATTTTTTCTTCCTCTCATTATGCATGCCAAATAATTCTGACCCACAAGGGCATTCGAGATGATGGATAAAAGGTAAATGTCTTAGGCATTACATTTTCAAAAGTTGTACTATAGGCTTTTTGTATATATATTTGTATTATATATGATTTATTACACTAAGATGCTTTTGGCCAAGAAGAGCTGGCTACTCTGCAGCTCATGACAGAATCCTTCCATTGCAAGAACAAATGGCTGGGTCTGGACACATAGACTGAAGTAAGTATAATCATGGGTCAACACTTGCAACTGTCACCATGCCAATCTGGTCTGCCTTTGGGTTTTCATGGTGCTACACATAACTATCATTTTCTACTTGGTTTCCCATCAACATTTTTCAGTTACACCCAATTCCTGCTCCACATGCTACTGCCACTGATGTCCTGAGAGTTTGGAAATGTGATGTCACCAGATTATGATGGCACTACAGTTATTGTAATATTTTTTCAACCTGACAGGATTGGAAACTTCTGATTTTAAAATGAAACAAGTTTACATCATTAATTAAAACAGTAAATTTAAACATCAATATTAAAAGTTAACAAATCTAAGTACAAATACATATCCACATCCAAAGTTATAGTCTGAGGTATGTTCATTGTTGGTCAAATAAATTGTTTGCATTGTTATTGCTGCATCTGCTGCTCGAATGCTTGGCTCCACAACCATGATTTAAGCTTTTTCCTAAAGAATAGGAGAGAGGAGGCCAACCTGATTTCATTAGGGAGTGTGTTCCACAGAAGGGGGCCACCACCGATAAGGCCTTGTCTCTCATCTCTGCCAGTCACACTTGCGAGAGTGGCAGGATCGAGAGGTGGATCATAGAGGGAAATATGTTCAGACAAGTAAGCAAGGCCGGAACCATATATGAATGGAAAAGTCACTTAAAGTGTGCAATGCTTTTTTCTTATTTAAAACGCTCAATGTGTAGGTGCTCCATGGAATTTCACCATACACCAGTTGCAATATTTTTTATTTTGCTTGGATTTATACAGCAGCTATATATTTGTATATGTTTTTTACACAACCAGTGATATCCATAGCACTGATGTTATAGATACAGACTTGCTTTAGTTGTATCCAAAAAATCAATTCGATGTGTACATGTTATGTTCAACACGCTCAATTCCATTACATACTTTCAGGTCATGTAGAATATTGGGTACAAGGTCAACACATACCCCCCATCCCAACCTTTTAAAATGAAACAAGTTTACATCAAACATGCACCATGCAGTCAAATAATGAATATACTTACTGTAGCGTTAAAGATAATAATAAGCTTTAATGCAGAGAACCTGCATTCCAAAGAAGGATGCTAAACATGCCTATGTTATTTTATGAGCAATGAACATTTGTTTACAATAAGTAATATAAAAGAGTTGGATATCTTCTTGTATCCTTTGTATTTCTTGAAGGTCAGTATTTATTACAGAATATTGTATCAAAAATAAAATCTTCATTGCTCATTTAGAACTATTTAAAGACTGAATTCACATATTATTATTTTTATTTTTTCTCAGTGTAGGTTTTGAGAGGTAAATGGAATACTCAAAGATCAATTTTTCATATGCATTAGTTTTTGTTCTATATAGTTTTGCTCAATGAGATCAGTCTTTAAAAAGTTAAGCTGTTTCTTGTCAGTTCTCATGAGTTCCTTGAAATGAGGTTAGTTGCCTTGCACTTACTAACCTCCCTGGAGGAGTCTTTTGATTTCTTCATCTTCAAGCAAATGACCATCACCTTCAATGAGTTTGGTCACCTTGGTAACCTCTGATAGGACACATGTTTATGGCATGACATTGATTTGTTTCAGACATTGGGAAATTTCAATTGCAGCACATTTAAGAAGCATACTTTATAAATAAACAACACACATCTCACAATAATAAGTATAATGCCAAACATCTGTTGTTTTCAGGAAAAGAAAGTAATGGTTGCCATGTGCCTCGAGTGTACACCATATATTGACTGTTTAACTTGAACCCCCACCCCCCAAAAAGTATTATTGAGGTATACATTATTGAAGTAACTAACTATGGCTCCATCTATACTGACCATTCATTGCAGTTCAACAACAAATGCCCACAAAAGCACATTAAAATGTCCTTAATGTACATCCGTGCTCTGTGGTTTATGTAATCACCATCCAGCCTCAAACTGGTTCCAGAATTTCCAGTGTAATCATCTGCACAACAAAAACACTTTCTTCAGTACTGGCTTGAAACTGACTGAAATGGTTGGTGTAGATGTGCCCTCCAGTGCACACTGAATACTTCTGCTATGAAGCCTAACAGTAGATCACATATACATTCACACTGGATGCTATTTCATAGGAATATTAGAATTTCTGAAAATGGGTCTCTCTCTCTGGGCCTTTCTGCACAGCCATTTATTTTGGTACAGAATTTGGATTTAAGAAATCCAGTTCACTTTGGAGTGCCTACACAAGCACCCCCAAACCTGTTCAAAGCTGCCGTGGAGGCTCCATTTACACTGCAATATAAAATCCAGAATATCTGCTTTGAACTGGATTACATGACAGTATAATCCAAATCAATGAAGATAATCCAATTCAACTAGATTATATGGTAGTACAGACTCACACAATCCAATTCAAAGCAGATAATCTGGATCATCTGCTTTGATAATCTGGATTATATGGCAGTGTAGATCCAGACAGAGTTTATAAAGCTCCACTGATTCTGGATCAAACTGAATACAGACTTTTTAAAGCTTTTTCAGTGAAAATAACTTTTTAAAAAAATCAGTGGGTAAAGTGGAACAAGCTGAGGCATTGAAATCCTTTCTTTACAGAAGGAGAGACATTTGTTTACATCCACACAAACTTTTAACATGGCTTCCCTCTGTGACTCCCAGAGTTTAACTCTGTCCTAACAAGCACTCCAGATGCTTCTCCAGCTTTCCAACACTGCATTTTTATACACTGACTTCAGTTCATTTTATGCATGATGCGGAATTTCAGGTGAGTTTTTTAAACACTAGATTTCTGGCTGGATGCAAGTTGGAGGTTGCATTGGGGAGGGGGTGTACATTTTGTAGACACCCCAACCTCAAGATGGATTCCAGCCAAATTATAGTGCCTGGGTGGCTGGGACCTTTCTCTTTCTAATCTCCTTGCTCTTAAGACACACAGGCATGAAACCTGGAGATCATAATTATGTGACTGGAAATGTTCACAAGTGTATCTGTTTTCAACATCATTTTTGGGAGCCTTCTTGGGCTCCCAAAAATGAGAGAAAGGTGATTTATAAATCAATTCTTTTTAAAAAAGTTTTCAAATACTCATAAAATTGATGTAATATTTAACATTCATTAAATTGCATTAATTTAATTTGACATTAATCAAATGGCTTAATACTTACAGTAACACAAATGTGTATATCGCTGACCAACATGCTCAAATCAACATTCCTAAACTCAGCAAGTAACCAAGAGTTCTTTTTCATATGCACTATTCCTTTTACACATATGCTGGCTGATTTCAGCCACTAAAGCAACAAGTGTCACAGTTCAGTATCTTATTCTTCCTTAGTAAGATGAATACTAACCTTCTTCCAGCAATTTCTTAAGAGTCTCCTCAGCATCTGCCCCATCACTTGTAGTGATGCGGGTATACTTCACTTCAGGACCTGAAGTGAAAAAGAGTGAATGAGATGTATTCTTTCCTAATTCTTAGAATGCATTTTTCACAATCTTCATTGTCATGTTGTAATTAGCAGAATCTTCTTCCCAGAAGCACATTAATAGTCACAGGGGGTAATGAAAGAAGGCCCTGGTAGAAGACTTGCTCTTCATCAGCACTTACAAGCTAGTGAATGCTCAAGAGCTGGCTACAGACTCAGAGATTTCAACATACAGAACATTGAGGGTTGTGAAGGTGAACAGAAATATGTTGCAAGAAATATGTGATATGTCGTGGTTGTTCTAAGAGAATTTACTCCTACCTCTCACATGAAAACTGATATTACACAGCATCATCAGGATGTGGTTATATTGTTTGAGCACATTGAGTAGTAAACATTTATGCAATGAACAAACAAACAAGATGCACATGAGATGGCAACGATATCTACATATTTGGACCTAAATAAAAATGTTGGTCCCAACTAAATTAGACTCATTTGAATGGTAAAGCAATACTTATATAAATCCTAGTAATTCATTGGGTCTGTCCTAATTAGGGCTCACATTCAGATTTAAGATGTTAAAAATAGGGAATAGAATATTTTTCCACAGTATTTTAATTGCATTACTTAGGCCCCATGTACACTGCCATATAATGCAGTTTGAACTGCATTATATGGCCAGTGTAGACTCATATAATGCACATTAAACAGCATTGAACTGGATTATATGAGTATAAATTGGATCTGAGGTTTCGTCTTTCTTTTAAGACCCGTTCTCAGGAATTAAGATAGCATAACCAGATTAGAAAATCTGGGACCTGCTGGTGATAAATAACTTCAAATGGCCAGAATTAGGTGTGGAATCCATATGAAAAGATCCTCACTTTTGTTTGTAAAATTTATGCTTCTGTATATTTTTGGTATAGTTTACCTTGAATAATTCTTTCTTCTGTCACTTCTTTTTCAGTTACTTCCACAGGAAGGCCGTCAATTATTTTCGTGTATTTTTTAATTTTAGGCTCTAATAAAAATGTTTTTAAACATTAAAGACAAAGTAATTGACAACTGTGTTTTTTAAATTGGGTTGTTTTATATTTCACAATGCAGCCAAATAATCTTTATTTCAAAACTTGGGCCAAAGGGGGTAGATGTTAGAAAATGATAGAACTTAACTGTTAAGTGAAGAGAAGAAATGATGCCATTTTCATTTACAAGCATGCTAATGTTGCCAAGGCCAAATATGAAAGTGATAGAACTTTTAAAACAAATATTTTAAATATCTATTTTATGCATTCATTGAGTTTTTAGACAGAATGATAGGTGCTTTTCAGATTTTGTTTGCAATGTCAATGGCAACAATGTTGAGTTTCTCAAGATATATAAGTATAATTAATATGTTCTAACATAAAAAATAGAGAGTTGCAAAGTTGTTTTTCAACATTTTATCTCATGGCAATGATTCAGGAAGCAGATATCAGAGATGTTAAGAGACAGCAATGTTTTTCAGCATGCAAAGCACCATAGGAAGAACATTGTATGTGATTTTGTTTACTGGTATTGATAAGCAAAGCAATGAGTTTAATAATGAAATATTGTGTTATAATACACCATTATAAAACATGCAGAAAGCAAACTTCTCCCTTTAGCCTTGCAAAAATCATCAACTATTTTTTCCAAATCATTCTGGTTAGTAATACCCAACCCGCAAGATATATTCACCTCCATGAATCACTTTAGTTACTGTTTCACCTTCCCTGACCAGTTTAAATTCTGGCTCCCCTTCAATCACTTTGGTGATTTTTGTAATGGATGGCACTGCAAAGCATTATTGCAAAATTGGAAACTGTGTTATAGACACATGACAAACATTGAGGAATTATCAAAACATGGGATGGGACAAGCTTCTAAATGTTAACTTCTAACTTCAGGGCCAATCCTACAATTTCTGAGTCAATAACAATGGAGTCTTCAGAGCATTGCAATACCATCATGACACAAGTCTGCTTGAAGATCAATACCTAGAATTCATGATATATACATGCATTGATATATATCAGGATTGCTGTATATGTTACAGGTACTGCATGAGTAGGAGCAAGGATCTCTGGGTGCTTCCAAACAGCTCTAAAACCCATGCCAAAGTGGGTTAAAATAACCTGTTTTGGCATGGGTTTTGTCTACATGTACTCAAACTCTAGACTTTCCTGGTGTGTGTGTGTGTCTACATGCTATCCTGATTGAATTAATGTGGAAACCTTGGATTATTCCAAATTAACTCATTTTTACTGGAGGCATCATTTGGATGTCTCCATTAAAAACTGAGTCAGGCCCTGCATTTTGGGCCTGTCTGGATGGGCCGCCTGTTACCAAGAAGCAGGTGGACAGATTAAGAGTGCTGGTCTTTCACATTTCCACTTGTATTTTTGTGCCTCTTGATGCTCCTGCTATATCCCTGTTTGGTGCTCTTTTGGATGGCTATGATCAGGCAGTCTGAGAGGGCATTAAGAGCTCAATGAGAGCTGCTCACTGAAATGGCATCTGTAAGAAGTACAGGTGGAAGCTTCCCTTTTTGAACAACAAGCACTCTCATTTCAACAACTGTGAGGTCTTGCTGGGCCACCATTCCCTAGCTGTGTGACTCCCCCTGTCCCCTAACATCCCTATTTTTTACTTCACCTAAGATTCCTAGTAAGAAAAATGATAAGTGAAAATTCTCCTTAAAAGTGTGTGTGTCAGGCTGCAACTCCACTTTTCTTCCCCATTGTACTCTTACCTTCAATCTCTTTTCGAACGGTGCTACCAACAACTCTTGTTATTGTTTTAATATCTGTGACAAGCAAGGACAAAAATGCATAGCTTTAGGGAATATTATTATTATTATTATTATTATTATTATTATAGAATTATGTTTTAGCTTTTAAAGAAAATTTTTTAGCTGCAATAATTTTATAGCTGAAGCATGACATTAGAAGCTTTTTTATTTAACTTTGTCATGTGCTACAGGTGCAATGATTTACAGTACAGTCCTGGATATGATTACTCAAAAATAAATTTTATTGGGTATAGGCCTGCAGATTCAATATTTCTTTCAAATTCAATTACACATAGAAACATCTAAATTTGTTTCATTTGCTGATCTGTTCGTACACTGTTCCATGTTCCTAGAGAGACTTGTGTTTAAAATATATGGAATAGTGAAAATGGAGAACATAGCATTAGTGGAGAAGAATTGCTAAAGCATTTTATACAGGTCTTGTGAACTGGGGGCAAGCCTTGCCAAACAAAGCTGAAGGAATGCTGTAAAGGGTGGTCTACAGGGGAGAAAGGTCTTTGAGGCTCCTTCGACATTGCCCTATATCCCAGGATCTGATTCCAGATTATCTGCTTTAATAGCGGTGGTAGGTGAGTGACAGGATTATATGAGCCTCTGCTGCCAGATAATCTGGGATAAGAATATAATCTGGGATCAGATCCTTGGGTATAGGGGCAGTGTGGAAGGGACCTGAGGAAAAGTAGACTGGTCAAAAATTGCCTAGAGATGGGAAAACCATTGGAGAGAGATAGAGGAAAGCTGCAATAAAGATTGGATTGTCAGCCAGAAGGCAACACCAGATTGGGTTTGGGAGAGCTCTGAATGAAAAATACTTCTGGGGTTAATGTTTGATCTAATAGGTATTAATAAACTTATACTTGCTTATTATTTTTTACAAATGTGTCAGACCGGTTTTGTTTTGACAGACAGTCTGCCCCTGTTTGTAACAAACAGGTCCACATAAGGGCCACCTTGATGTCTAAGCACCTGGTTCAGGAATGGATCTTGACGGGAAGCAGTGGTAGGTGAGTGACAGGGTTAAATGCAAGATACTCCACTTAGGCAGAAAAAATGAAATGCAAAGATACAGCATGGGGGATGCCTGGCTCGACAGCAGTATGTATGAAAAAGATCTTGGGAGTCCTCGTGGACAACAAGTTAAACATGAGCCAGCAATGTGATGCGGGCAACTGAAAAAGCCAATGGGATTTTGGTCTACATAAATAGGAGTATAGTGACTAGATCCAGGGAAGTCATGCTACCCCTCTATTCTGCCTTGGTCAGACCACACCTGGAATCACACTGTGTCCAATTCTGGGCACCGCAATTGAAGGGAGATGTTGACAAGATGGAATGTGTCCAGAGGAGGGTGACTAAAAGGATCAAGGGTTTGGAGAACAAGCCCTATGAGGAGCAGCTTAAAGAGCTGGGCATGTTTAGCCTTCAGAAGAGAAGACTGGAAGAAAACATGATGAGGGCCATGTATAAATATGTGAGTGGAGCGACAAGATCTGGCCTCGGTTCCAACCTTCCTTATCAATGAAGACAGCAGATATCTTGCCTCCCCTATGGCATATTTAACAAACTTAGAGGTTCCTATTCATCGAAGGGCTTTCACCCTGGCTCGATGCCACGCTCTCCCATCAGCTGTACTCGAAGGCCGCTACCGGAAGATCCCTTTCCCAGAGAGACTCTGCCCCTGTGACTCGGGTCATGTAGAAACAATAGAACATGTGCTCCTCCAGTGCCCGTTCTACAGGGATATCCATGCCAGGCTTATCTTACCTCTGTTATACAAGCACCCAGGCCATTCAGGACAATTTTATACCTCCATGCTACTTGCAGATATTAATTCAGCTACAACCTACAATGTTGCAAAGTTCTGTGCAGCAGCATACAAAATCCGTCAGGGAATGACTAGTCCCAAAAGTTAACTGTGTGTCCAGTAATCTTCTTCTCTGAATCTACAATTTGGTGATGGATCTGGGCATTGTATGTTTTTACCCTGTTTCCCCTTCCCTTCTGCTCCCTCACCCATATTGTGCTTCAGTAGTGATATTTATATTTTTAATGTACCAAACATACCAAGTTTGTATGAAAATGTGACTACTTCCTGTGCTGGTCAATGACCGAAATAAATGATTTGATTTGAGTGGAGGTCATAGGGAGGAGGGAGCAAGTTTGTTTTCTGCTACCCCGGAGACTAGGATGTGGAACAATGACTTCAAGGTACAGGAAAGGAGATTCCATCTGAACATGAGGAAGAACTGTGAGAGCTGTTCAGCAGTGAAACTCTCTGCTCCAGAGGGTGGAGGAGGCTCCTTCTTTGGGGGTTTTTAAACAGAGTGTGTGCAGCCATCTGTTGGGGATGCTTTGATTGTGCTTTTCCTGCACAGCAGAGCATTGGACTGGATGGCCTATGCGGTTGCTTCCAACTCTATAATGATTCTATAATTCTAGGAACCCAAAATGCAGAGAACTCATACTACAAACTCAGTTTTGAACAGAAGTATTTTTTTAAAAAAATACAAGTGATCAGAACATGGCTTCCAAAACATTTCTTGTCCAATTTTATCACAGTTATCTCCCACATTTGAGAATCAGCTTAAAGAATGCTCCAGTGTTCATTTGGGGCTGCTACTGTTGCCATCATTGGCATGTAAAGGAGAGCTGGGTCTGGTTCCCGAAAAGGACTGTTGTAGAGTAATCAGTGGTGGGAGTATGAGTAATGTTAAGAGGCCTTTCCAACACAAATCATGCCTTGGGGTAAAGCCAGAGGTTGGGTTATTAGTCTGGCAGCTGGTGATAAATTGGCTGCACGAAGGGAATGAGAAGTGCTCACTATGTTCTGTGCTTGTTTCACATTTACTTGGAGTTTTTCTAACTTATAAGTCAGCCATTGGTGAAGATGAGTCATTACTTTGTCATTACTTGTGGAATTATTAAGGTAAAGACAAAGGCATCCTGAGATGCAATCAATAATGGTTTAATAATAGTTCAGCCACTCATCTCAAGCTCTGTACGGATCTGGTTTGAGATGGTTCCTTTGGAGCCAAAGGCACCCAATTACACCCAATCCCTTTTCAGGCACCAAAAGCATGCATTGAACACAAGGGGAGGGCAGAATGTTCACCACACCTCTTTCATTACAATTTCCACATTCCACCAAGGTATGAAACGGAACAGAACCTCCTGTATACCTGGAGGCTTTCCAAGTAGACAGGAGGGACCCTGGCTTCTGGTGCTTTTTGAATTGCAATCCCTAAAAAACTGAAAAGAAGTATGTTCAAACAGAATATTTAAATGTATGTTGTACTTTTATTTTACCCACTGTATACTTGCTGTGGCATTGTGTGCCCTGGCAACAAACATGGAGAAGCAAATCTTGGCACAAGGAGTTGGAGCTGGGAAGATCTCAAGACACTAGTGAGATTCCTCAGTCATTTCATTGTCAGTCATTTCAATAGTTTCTTTAATTGTAGCCATATTTTCATTAGTTTTACCACATTTCTTACATTTCTTACAACCACTATAGGTGCTTGTAGCCACTTAATTACATTTTAATTCTATTGTATTTCATAGAATCATAGAATCATAGAGTTGGAAGAGACCTCATGGGCCATCCAACCCCCTGCCAGGAAGCAGGAATATTGCATTCAAAGCACCCCTGACAGATGACCATCCAGCCTCTGTTCAAAAGCTTCCAAAGAAGGAGCCTCCACCACACTCCAGGGCAGAGAGTTCCACTGCTGAACAGCTCTCACAGTCAGGAAGTTCTTCCTCATGTTCAGATGGAATCTCCTTTCTTGTATTTTGAAGCCATTGTTCCGCATCCTAGTCTCCAGGGAAGCAGAAAAAAAGCTTGGTCCCTCCTCCCTGTGACTTCCTCTCACATATTTATACATGGCTATCATATCTCCTCTCAGCCTTCTCTTCTTCAGGCTAAACATGCCCAGGTCCTTAAGCCGCTCCTCATAGGGCTTGTTCTCCAGACCCTTAATCATTTTAGTCGCCCTCCTTTGGACACATTCCAGCTTGCCAACATCTCTCTTCAATTGTGGTGCCCAGAATTGGACACAATATTCCAGGTGTGGTCTAACCAAGGTGGAATAGAGGGGTGCATTACTTCCCTAGATCTAGACACTAGACTCCTATTGATGCAGGCCAAAATCCCATTGGCTTTTTTTGCCGCCACATCACATTGTTGGCTCATGTTTAACTTGTTGTCCACGAGGACTCCAAGATCTTTTTCACACATACTGCTGTCGAGCCAGGCGTCCCCTATTCTGTAGCTTTGCATTTTGTTTTTTCTACCTAAGTGGAGTACCTTGCATTTGTCACTTCATTTTGTTAGTTTTGGCCCATCTCTCTAATCTGTCTCTCTAATCTGTCAAGATTGAATCCTGCTCTTGTCCTCTGGAGTATTGGCTATCCCTCCCAATTTGGCATCGTCTGCAAACTTGATGTTCATGCCTTCTATCCCTTCATGTAAGTCATTAATAAAAATGTTGAACAGGACTGGGCCCAGGATGGAACCATGTGGCATGCCACTTGTCACTTCTTTCCAGGATGAAGAGGAAGCATTGGTGAGCATCCTCTGGGTTTGCACATTTAACCAATTACAGATCCACCTAACCGTAGTTTTGCCTAGCCCACACTGGACTAGTTTCCTTGCCAGAAGTTCATGGGGGACCTTGTCGAAGGCCTTACTGAAATACAGGTACGCTACATCCATTGCATTCCCCGCATCTACCCAGCTTGTAACTCTATCGAAAAAAAGATACAGTTTGCTATCCATCTTGCTATTTCATCGGATTAACCATTTTTACCTTCTTTTCCAAGAATGGGCTCAAAGCCTCCCTCAGTTACTTTAATCTTTGGATCTACAACTTTAGTAATAATGCGGGTGGCTGAAAGAATAAAAATAGTGCAAATCAGCAGAAATATATGTCATTTTTGGAAAAAAAATACAATTCATCATTTGTTTTGAATTTTCCATCAATAACACTATTTTTTATTTTGTATCAAAAGTATTGCATAAAGAAACAAGTATAAAACTGATAAAATAGAGGACACACAAGAAGCTAAATAATTTTACACTAAAATGGGCAACAGCAGCTGCAATAACACTATGTAACACAATATTTGTTCCTGGGTTATAAATGTTATTTCCTAATTGGCTCTATCATAAAAACATGCAACATTTATTCAGCTGCAAAAAAAACTATAGCATATTTTGCTATAGTTTTTCAATAATTTTTCAAGAGTCTCAACCAATTCAACATACTTTGTGGCAGCTATAAAAATGAAGTTTCTGGTGTATATCAATTAAACAGGGCATAACACTTTCAAACCAGGAACAAAAATATTTTTCAAATTTTGTTACATAGTGTAATCAAATATATATTCCCCCGTCATTCATATATCACCAACACTGACATTGTATCTTCCTTGTATAAATGAAAAACATTTTATTTACTTTATTTACTTTGTTTTATATCCCGCCCTCTCTCTCTCATTGAAGGAATCAGAGCAGCTATCATATGGCACAATTCAATGTCGTTCAACGATCCATCTCACATCCAAACACATAAAATCAATACATATGAAATCAAAATCAAATCGTACTTCCTTTAATTTTTTTGGCTACGATGTCCCAGAAGAAAATGGAGTTACGTGTGGAAATTGTCAGTTCAAGATCAGACCATACTTTCATATTATAGCACTTCATTTTATCTGCGATCAGTTTTTTATATTGCCGTCTAATTTTTAACATATGGGCATGTGTATCTGAGTTGTGGGAATGTTGGAGTACTCTTATGGCACTTTTCAGTTGCTTCTTTTTTAGTTGGCATTCATAATCAAACCACTTCAGGCAAGGCTACTTCACTATAGACAATGCCTTTGTTCTTCAGCATGTTATCGACAAATATTCTTCATTGAACAGAAGTTTATATGTTGCTTTTATAGACCTGTCCGCTGCTTTTGACTCTATAAGCCGAGAGTTACTCTGGAGGAAATTTTTGAAGTCCAACATAGATAAAAGACTCTTAGCTCTTATGATTGCTCTATATGATGACTCCTCGGTTAAAGTGAGATTAGATAACAGTGGGGCAGTCTCCAATGGAATACCTACAACTAGGGGTGTGAGACAGGGATGTTTGTTGGCTCCGTTCTGTTTTAATTTTTATATTAATGATATTGTGGAATATTTGAATATGAAAGAATGTCACAGTCCAAAGATTATGGATAGGGAGACAAATATTTTGATATACGCAGATGACATAGTATTGTTATCCACTACCCCAGTCGGGTTAAGGAGGTCCCTGCAAAAACTTAGCCAATATTGTACTGAAAATGCCCTCATTATAAATAAAGAAAAATCCAAAATAATGGTTTTTGGTAAGAAAGCTAAGGCTTCCAACTGGCACCTTGACGGGCACAAAGTGGAGCAAGTGAGGACATTTAAATACTTAGGTCTTCATTTTGCGGCATCAGGGGCATGGACCCAACATCTAAAATTAAGTATTGCAAAAGCTGATAATGCTGCACAGGCAATTCATAAATTATGCAACCACAATTACCCGGGCTCTCTGCGCCCCTTTCTGAAGGTTCTTAAGGCAAAGGTGTTCCCCATCGCTTTGTATGGAGCTGAAATATGGGGTGAGCAAGACCCTTTACTGGTAGAGAGATTCCAACTGCGCCACCTGAAAATTGGCTTAGGTGTGGAGAGATCATCCCTGTCAGCTGCAGTGAGAGCAGAGACGGGAGTACCCCCAATCTCCACCACAATTCTGAAGAGGCAGATCAATTGGTGGTACAAAATAAGACAAATGCAACCACACAGACTCCCAGCCCTATGCCTTCTAGAACAAGAAAACCACAAAGAGTGGTCATCCTGGCTTAGCAGATTTGGCCACACAGTTAGTAGGTTAGGTTTTGCCCCCCACGAGTTAACAAATTTTGGGGCAAATGTATGCTCAATTGTATACCAAAGAGCTCTCGACATTGCTGCACAAAATGATCTAATGAACATAGCGCAAGCTAGAGCCACTCCATACCTGGCCAAATTTAAATGTAATGTGGGCATGGAACCTTACCTCTCTTTTATACTTCCACTCTATATTAGAAAATGTTTTACCCGGGCTAGATTTGAGCAGCTCGACATTAAGTCCAAGTTGGGACGACATCAGAATATCCCCTACACGAGGAGAACCTGTGGGTGCCGTGAGGTAGATGCAGAAGTGGAGGACTCAGAACATTTTTTCTTAAAATGTCCCTACTACAACAGGATCCGGTCTTACTACCTAGAGCCTCTGCTGGAGAACCATACTTATTCAGAGAATAAGGAGAAATTGCACATCCTTCTTCGGGGTTCAGATAAAAACTCTATTTTAAAATTGACCCTTTTTACCCTAAAAGCGCTGGCCATCCGTGAGAAGATGGAAGCAGAGAGAGGCGACCTTGCTGCCATCAACAAAACTCAAACTTAAAAACTTAATATGGACACGCCACTAGTTTTACCTACCCATGCCCCCCACCCTAACCCTATTTTAAGGAATTAATCAATTTTTAATATTTTAACCTCTTTATCTTGTAGTTGCTCAATTATTTAGGAGTGGGTCGACAGGCCAGTAGGCCATGATGCCTTGTATTCATATATGGTTTTACTGTATGCGTATGCCTTGTATGTTTTGCATGTTTTGATATGGTCAAAATTGACTAATCAATAAAGAATTGTTGTTGTTGTACATATAAAATCTATAATACTCCTTTAACAACAACATTACATAGTAAAACATTATAAAGCTAACTATAATTAAAATTCAACATGGCTTCCATCTCATTACCATTTTCCACATTCATTGCACTTAACCCGGTTAACCATGGTCCAAATGCTTCTCCCCACAGAAAAGTTTTTATCTGCTTTCTAAATGATAACAGAGAGGGTGCCACTCTGATGTTCAAAGGGAATGCCAGAACCAAGGAGCCACTGTTGAGAAGGCTCCCCCTCTCACTCCCACCAGCCTCACATGTGTCGGGGGTGGGACCAAGAGTAGGGCCTCCCCTGCCAATCGTAAGGCTCGAGCCAGTTTATATCGGAAGATGTGTTTGGATAGCTAGGTTGGGCCTGAATCGTTCAGGGCTTTAAAGGTTAAAACCAACACATTGAATTGCGCCCAAAAGCACACTGGAGCTGCCATAACAAGGGGGTTGTTTGCTTCCTTACAGCGCTCCAGTGAGCAACCTGGCCGCAGATCTCTGGACCAGCTGCAGCTTCCAAGGGCAGCCCTACTTAAAGTGCATTACAGTGGCCAGATCTGACTTCTCAAGGTACAGGCACAGTTGGTGCACATGTTTTAATTGTGCAAAGCCTCCCCTGGCCACTGCCTATACCTGAGATTCCAGGGTCAGTGATGAGTGCAGAAGAACACCCAAACTGCAAGCCTGCATCTTCAGGGGGAGTGCAACCCCATCTAACACAGGCTGTAGCCCTATACCCTGATCGATCATGGGGTGATACGGCTCTGCATTGTGAGAGAGGACATTCAGGAGAGATTGTGTCAACTGCCCTGATAATTTCCCCATTCCAGAGATCAACCAGAGCTTTGACAGTATCTCCTACCGGTAATAGCTCCTCGACCCCTACAGAGGTTAGAAGTTGCTTTAAGTCTAAACCTGAACAGGTAGTGGTCGGTCCATGACAATGGAACGGTAGAAAGTTCCTCTACAATGCCGCCAGTACCATCCCATCCCATACAAAAGACCAGGTCTACGGTGTGTCCAGCTACATGGGTGGAGACAGAAACGACTTGGGACAGCCCCATGGTTCTCATGGTGGCTATGAAGTCCTGAGCCACTCCCAACAGGGTGGTCTCCACATGGACATTGAAGCCCCCCAGCACTATTAGCTGTTGAGACTCCAATGCCAGGCCCGAGATCACCTTGGCTAGCTCAGGTAGGAATAATGTTGAGCAGCAGGGTGGACAGTACACCAACAGTATCCTTATTCTGTCCAAGTCACCCACCCTGAAGTAGATACATTCAAACGAGGTTGATTGTGGGATGGAATACTTGGTCAGGGGGATGGAATCTCGTAGAGCATAGCAACTTTGCCTCCCTGGCTCCTGGGTCTAACCTTCTGCTGCACCGAGAAACCTGGTGGGTAAAGCTGGGTAAGATTGATTTCCCCCACCTTCGTCCTGCTAGGTTTTCATAATACATGCCAGGTCTTCATTCTCATCCTGGATTAGATCCTGGTTGTCTTACAGAGTTTACAGACCTAGTGTTTAGCAGAGGCATTTTCAACCTGGGGACACAAACATTAACTTGCCTAATTAAGTACTGTATAATATATGTAAGTATATGCATTCAAGATGGATAGATTTTGAGCCCCCGTAATATTTCACTTTAAAGGACCTTTAAAAATAAGTAAAATGACTTTATTGAATGAGTCTGAATAATTATAAATGCCTTCCTACTGAGAGATTTTATTCTCAGAAATCATAGACTGAGAAAAGAAAGAGTATTCTGTGTATTGTCGAAGGCTTTCATGGCCGGAATCACTGGGTTGTTGGAGGTTTTTTCGGGCTATATGGCCATGTTCTAGAGGCATTGTCTCCTGACATTTCGTGCTAGCTCAGGTAGGAATGCTTGTGCTAGATGCAGGCGAAACGTCAGGAGAGAATGCTTCTAGAACATGGCCATATAGCCCGAAAAAACCTACAACAACCCAATGAGTATTCTTTTTGTTTTAGTGACTACCCCATAAGACAAATGTTCTTTGTCTTGGCAGTTTTTTGAGCACTCTAATACCCTGTGGAGGCATCTGAATTTCACAACATTGTCATCCAGTTGCACACCCAAAATTCTAATAGTTTACCTTATCTTTTAAAGTACTTACTGTAAAATGTCATTGGGATCTCTTTGAATGTGCTACCTCGGACAAACTGGGTGGGGAGAGAGAAAAAGAAGACTGAAATTCAGTATAGACACACTAGAAACCTGAAAATAAAAATAGCCAAGTTACAATTCTTCAAGTGACTGTATCTCCTGATATTTGAAATGGAATAAATTACATTATTGTTACTGTTGTCATCATCCTTATTTTCTCAAAAACAAGAATTGGTAACACCTTTATTAGATCATTAAAAATATTTTTAAAGGCAACATTTTCAAATCCTCCAGGACACTTCATGAGATTATGTGTGGGAAGAGAAAATGAAAACTTCCTAGCTAGACATTGGCTCTATTCCTCTAGATTAATTTAGGTGGTACGGTGCTGACGGCATCATCTAATACTACAGGGGAGAGATATCTTACCACTCAAGGGACCCTGGACTGCACTGAGAACTTAATATTCCTCTAATTACTAAGAAATAATTTAACTTTGCTTGATTGCTTTTTCTTTGTTGCCCACCTAAACTGAATCCCTACTTTCTCTGTAGTTTCTGTGTCTCATACTGTACCCGAGCAACCTGTCTTTGGCAATTTTTTCAGGCACAAATTCTTCACTTTCTCAATGCGCATAATTCCTGCTCATTTTTACCCTGACCCCTTTCCTCTGGTGCAGGAATCACCATGTTTCCTGGCGCCACTGGTCCCAAATAGCAATAGGAGGTATGTCCTTCAAATAACGGTACCAGAGTGTGTGTGCAAGTATCTGTGGGCACATCCACGTTGCCTGTTTACTCATTAATTCCATATGGTTTTCTTTGAGAGGAAATATAGGCCACAACATTTGGTATTCATTGGCATATCCAAATACTAACCAGACTGTCCCTTGCTTAGCTTCCAATATAAAATAGGATTTAGCGTCTTTAGGGTTTTTAACTTTAGCAATACAGGAAGGCAAATTGTTTCTCTATCAACTGATGTGAGATCTGAAATTAACACATCCATCTGACTCTTTAGGTCTGCGAACTCTTCTTTGGGACGTGAATCTAAGTATGGATCTTGTGGCTTCTACATCTAGCCAGAAAGATTCTAGTACTTTTGTTTCTTTTCCCCCCACATCAAGCTTTTGTTTGAAGACTGTTAACTGCTAAAAAAAGGAGATGCTGTGGGGAAAGCCCATCAGTATGGTCCAGTTTGCTTTTATCTCAGAACAATGAAACAATCGCACCTTGATCTGAATGTAATTAATCAGCTTTTTGAGAATTGCAAGGAGTTGATCATTTCCAACCGGCATATCTAAAATAAAAATAAAATAGATTTAAATAGATTAAAAACCATAATGGTTTTATTTTTATAATCTGCATTGAAAAGTGGGATAAAAATAATTCTAAGCCATGTTCCTTTCCTCCCTTTCACACACATAGATTATACCTTGGATTGTTTTTTAGATTGTCCATATTTCTCCATAAATTATTCTTACCATGCAACTTCCAGATTCGCTTCCCATTGAAAATTAGCAAAACCTTTTGGCTGCCTCACCTATGCAATTCAAATATACTGAATGATGGGGAAGAGGTTATTCAGGTAGAATTCATTTCCTCATTATCATAAATATTTGGGCCATGAAGTACAAAAAGTAAGCTAGAATTGTTTTGGAAGGAAAAACAAAGGTTCTTTCTTTTATAGTTAAAAAAGGCTTTGGCAATTATGCTGTTATAAGGTAATGTTCATGCACCCTCCAACATACATATACATTCTCAGTGTCTGTTTGACTTCAGCAGTTTATCATTTGAGAAGTTGCAGTTTTCAAGCTTCCATGATGGTGGAAGTATCTGGCAGCATATTTAAGGCCCCATCCAGACAAGCCCATGTTCTGGGACCTGTTTCGGTTTTTATCAGAGGCATTCAAAATGATGCTTCCTGTAAAAGTGAGTCAGAATCATAGAATCATAGAATCAAAGAGTTGGAAGAGACCTCCAGTCCAACCCCCTGCCAAGAAGCATTCAAATCACCCCTGACAGATGGCCATCCAGCCTCTGTTTAAAAGCTTCCACCACACTCCGGGGCAGAGAGTTCCACTGCTGAACGGCTCTCACAGTCAGGAAGTTCTTCCTCATGTTCAGATGGAATCTCCTTTCTTGTAGTTTGAAGCCTCAGTTTCGTGTCCTAGTCTCCAGGGAAGCAGAAAACAAGCTTGCTCCCTCCTCCCTGTGGCTTCCTCTCACATATTGATACATGGCTATCATATCTCCTCTCAACTTTCTCTTCTTCAGGCTAAACATGCCCAGCTCCTTAAGCCGCTCCTCATAGGGCTTGTTCTCCAGACCCCAGTAGAGCTTAATAACATCACAATTACCTCTATGTACAAGTCAACAAATAGTTTTGTTTCTCCTCTCCTGAGAACATTGATAGGCATCAAAAGGCGTAGTAATTGGTGACTTTAACAGCCATAGCCACATATGAGGCTATGCTCAGGAGAATAAAAATGGAGAGGCTGCCCTCTCCAGGGAAGAAATGCTTATTCTCATGGATAAGCATTTTTGCCTCTCCATGGTAAGCTCTCCATGGACAGCCTCTCCATGGTAAGCTCCCACCATCCTACAACAGTGGGAGATGGCACTAAGTGACAGCATTGTGCAGCATGAACTAAATCAGTGCGACCACCAATACCAAATACACAACATTAGCCGATAGTATGGCAACTGTTCTCAACTATAAGGCCTCAGGAAGTTCAATTTAAATGAAAATTCAACTTCAGAAAGGCAAATTGGTCTAACTTCTCATACATGTTAGGTGACAAGATCTTATCTGACGCCCCAGTCCCTGAGGAATACGAGCGCTTTATCAAAATAGTAAAAACCTGCTCATGGGCTTCTATACTAAGAGGCTGCAGAACACACTATCTTCAGAGCATTACTCCTGATACAGCTGCATTGTTGGAAGACTATTACAGGCTCCACAATGAAGACACATTTAATTGGGATGGTATGTAGTCATCTGCCCCCCCCCCCCCAAATACCACTTTCTCCATACTTCCACATTTCTAAAATTTCTGAATATTTCTGCCATGGATAATAGGGTTGGATAGATTCACTCGGGTGTGGCGAAACTTGAAAAAGATAGAATGTTTTTGCCTTCTGAAAGGACTTCAGCCATGTTTCTGTGAGGCTGTAGTCCCCTATAGTTTTGACTCGCTTTGCAAGGGATGCCGAAGTGAGGCGGAACTATCATGAAGCATTTTTAATGCAACTACACTTTTTGGAAGGCGAAACCTAAGTGCTTGCCTCCCAGCCAATCAGGGGTTATGTTTTGGGGGAGGGGAGAGGTTTGCAGTGTCCAGCAGCCATTGCTGTATATAAACCAAAGCACATGGCTGGAAGGCTCATTGGCAGCTAGGGAAGGGAGAGGGAGGTTGGACTGTTGTTGTTGCTGCTGCTGCTTGTTGCTGTTGGGTGCGGGGTGGAAGAAAGGGTTTGGAGCCAGAGGAAAATGGAGGAAGGCAAGGGAGAAGGGAAGATTTTGAGAGAGGAAGGGTTTGGAGCCAGATAAGAGAGAGAAAGAAGGAAAAGCCTAGGGTTGAGAGAGGCAGTATATAAATACGGTACATAAATCTATATCTATACATATAATAAAAGTGAATGTGTTTATGTGGAGGGCTGACGCAGGTAGGGAGGTGTATGTGGCAGCTTTCTGATTGGCTGCCACTGTGGTACATTTTGCATAAGGTCTCTGATTGGCCAGCCTCAACATTCTAACATTCCAATTGGTTCCCACTGCGGTATAATTTGCATATGGTTTCTGATAAGCCAGCTTCAACATTCTAACATTCTGAAGTGGCTGAGAGGGAAAAGGTAAGAGTCTGAGGCTTTCAGGAATGGTGGGAGTTGAAGTCCAAAACACCTTGTGGCCCCCAACAATGACAGAACAAGACCAAACCTGGCACACAGATCCCCACCCCCCCCAAGAGCCACTCTACATCCTGGTGCAGTTTGAGGGAGGATAGACCATAGATGATGGGACTTGCACTACTATAACTCACTACCTTAGAGCACTGTGACCCACACCAATGACGGATCAGGATCAAACTTGGCACACAGAGGCCCAATGTCCCACGTTACAACCTGGTGCGGTTTAGGGCAGGATGGGCCACAAATAATGGGATTAGAAGTACCTTTACCCCGATTCACTTCCCACAGAACACTGCAGCCCCTACAAATCACAGACCAGGCCCAAACTTGGCACACAGAGCCCCTATGACCCACTCTACATCCTGCCGCAGTTTGGAGGAGGGTGGACCACGGATGATGGAACTTACAGTACCTTCATTCACTTACTGAAACCACTGCGGCCCTCATCCAATGACTGATCAAGACCAAGCTTGGCACACAGAGCCCTGATGACCCACTCTAAATCCTGGTGTGGTGTGAAAGACTTTAGACCATGGATGATGGGAATTACAGTGTTATCAGTCATTTCTTCAGACCATTCTGATCTACACCAATGGCTGAGCAAGATCGAACTTGGCATACAGAGATTCCATTGCCCACTCTACATCCTGGTGCGATTTGTGGGACGATGCACCATGGATGATGGGATTTGCAGTACCTTCATTCACTTCCTGAGACCACTGCGACTCACATCAGTGACCGATCAAGAAGAAACCTGACACACAAAGCCCCCATGACCCACCCACCATCCTGGTGCAGTGCGGAGGAGAATGGACCATGGACGATGGGACTTGCATATGAGAGTTGTAGTTCACCCGCACCCACTGAACCACCAGACATTGGATCTAGACTAAAACTACAGAATAGACAAACAATGCCTATCTCAAATAACCCGGGCAGCGCTGGGTCCCTAAGCTAGTATATAATAAAAGTGAATGTTTGTATGTGGAGGGAGGTATATGTGGCAGCATTCTGATTGGCTGCCACTGTGGTACAATTTGCATAAGGTCTCTGATTGGCCAGCCTCAACATTCTAACATTCCAATTGGTTCCCACTGTGGTATAATTTGCATATGGTTTCTGATAGGCCAGCCTCAACATTCTAACATTCTGAAGTGGCTGAGAGGGAAAAGGTAGGAGTCTGAGGCTTTCGTGAATGGTGGGAGTTGAAGTCCAACACACCTTGTGGCCCCCAACAACGACAGAACAAGACCAAACTTGGCACACAGACCCCTCAAGACCCACTCTACATCCTGGTGCAGTTTGAGGGAGGATGGACCATGGAAGACAGGACTTGCAGAACTTTAACTCCATTCCTTAGAGCACTGTGGCCCAAACCAATGACGGATCAGGACCAAACTTGGCACACAGAGGCCCAATGTCCCACTTTTCAACCTGTTAGGGTTCAGGGCAGGATGGGCCACGAATGATGGGATTTGCAGTACCTTCACCCAGTTCACTTCCCACAGAACACTGTAGCCCCTACAAATCACAGACCAGGCCCAAACTTGGGACACAGAGTACACATGACACACTCTACATTCTGATGTAGTTTTAAGGGGGATGGACCATGGATGATGGGATTTGGAGTACCTTCACTCATTTACTGAAACCACTCATCCAATGACTGATCAAGACCAAACTTGCCACACAGAGCCCCCATGACCCACTCTACATCCTGCTGCAAGGAGCCCCCGGTGGCACAGTGGGTTAAACCCCTGTGCCGGCAGGACTGAAGACCGACAGGTCGCAGGTTCGAATCCGGGGAGAGGCAGATGAGCTCCCTCTATCAGCTCTAGCTCCTCATGCGGGGACATGAGAGAAGCCTCCCACAAGGATGATAAAAACATCAATTCATCCAGGCGTCCCCTGGGCAACATCCTTGCAGACGGCCAATTCTCTCACACCAGAAGCGACTTGCAGTTTCTCAAGTTGCTCCTGATAATAAAAAAAATCCTGCTGCAGTTTGGAGGAGGGTGGATCATGGATGATGGGACTTGCAGTACCTTCATTCACTTACTGAAACCACTGCGACCCTCATCCAATTATTGATCAAGACCAAACTTGGCATACAGGACCTCCATTACCCACTTTCTCTAATAACCCAGGCAGGGCCTGATCCCCAAGCTAGTCTATCTATCTATATAATAAAAGTCAAAGTTTGTATGCGGCGGACAGAAGTGTGGCGGTGTGGAGGAATATGTGCCAGCTTTCTGATTGGCTGCCACTGTCGTGCTATTTGCATATAGTCTCTGATTGGCCAGCCTGAAAGTTCCAAGATTCCGATTGGCTGCCGCTGTGGTGCTATTTGCATATGGTCTCTGATTGGCCAGCTTCAGCAGGAGCCCCTGGTGGAGAAAAGGGTTCATGACAGAAATGGAGACATGAGAGAAGGAAATTTGCATATGGTCTCTGATTGGCCAGCCTCAATTCCAAGATTCCGAGATGACAAAGAGAGGAAAGGAAAAGGCCAGGGGAGGCTGGGTCAGAACATTACCAATACAGACCAAACTTGGCACACAGAGCCCCCATGACCCACTCTACATCATACTGCAGTTTGGAGGAGGACAAACCATGGACGATGCAGTACCATCACTCACATTCTGAGACCACTGTTAACCTCATCCAATGACTGATCAGGACCAAACTTGGCACATAGACCTCTCATGACCCACTTTACGTCCTGGTATGGTTTGGCTGGGGATGGACCATGGATTATGGGACTTGCAGTACCTTTGCTCAATTCTTGAGACAAGCCTTTGACCAGTTCTAGCCCAGCCCCAAACATTGTTGAATATGGCCTCATACTTCCTACCTATTACCCTTCACTTCACTCACTTCTTAAGACCACTGAGACCCTCGCCAATGACTGATCAAGACCAAACTTGGCACACAGAGTCCCCATGACCCACTCTACACCCTGGCGCACTTTCGAGGAGGACAGACCATGGATGATGGGACTTCAAGTACCTCCGCTCCCTTCCCAAGACTGCTGCAACCCTCATTAATGTCCGATCAAGACCAAACTTGGCACATAGAGCCCCCATGACCCACTCTACATCCCGATGCTGTTTGGAGGAGGATGGACCACAGATGAAGGAACTCACAGTACCTTCACTAACTTCCTGAGACCAGTGCGAGCCATATAAATAACTGATAAAGATCAACCTTGATACACAATTCCTTTCTCAAATAACCCGGGCAGCGCTGGGTCCCCAAGCTAGTATATAATAAAAGAGAATGTTTGTATGCGGAGGGCGGTGTATGTGGCAGCTTTCTGATTGGCTGCCACTTTCACAAGCCACTGTGAACAGCACGGGTGACGACCTAGACCAAACTTGGCACACATAACCCCCATGACCCCCTTTACGTCCTGGGGAGGTTTGGGGGAGGACGGACAAAGGATGATGGAATTTGTAGTACTTTCAAACCCTTCGGTTCCCACAGACCACTGTGGTCCCCAACAAAGACCGATAAAGACCAAACACAGAGTCCCCACGACCCTCTCTACATCCTACTGCAGTTTGGAGGAGGGCAGACCATGGATGATGGGACTTGAAGTACCTCCACTCACTTCCCGACCCTCATCCAATAACTGATCAAGACCAAACTTGGCACACAGGGCCCCCATGACCCATTCTACATCTTGCTGCAGTTTCGAGGACAATGGACCACGGATTATGGGACTTGCAGTACCTTCACTCACTTTCTGAGACCACTGCGACCCTCATCCAATGACTGATCAAGACCAAACTTGGCACACAGAGCCCCCATGACCCACTCTACATCCTGGTGCTATTTGAAGGAGGATGGACCATGGACAATGCAACTCGCTATATCTTCACTAATTTCCTGAGAGCACTGTGAGCCACATAAATAACTGATAAAGACTAACCTTGGCACACAATGCCTTTCTCAAATAACCCGGGCATTGCCGGGTCCCCAAGCTAGTAAATAAATAAATAAATGTTTTTTTGGGATGCAGGGAGAGGGTGAAATTAATAAAGTCATTTCTGGAAACTTCTTTTTTGCTCGCCCTTTTTTCTGGGTTGTGTTTTGGGACTTGATGCTACATTTCCCAACCTTGCTGGGCCTCAGTTGCACAAATGGTGACTTCCAACAGTATGAATGTGTCTGAAAGTTGCGGGGAGTGATCCCCTATAACCTTTTGTCATTTCCTTAAAAATTCAAGGAGGTAGCTCTTTTATTTTTATTTTAATAAATTATTTCTAAAATTGCTTAAAAATTCTTTAAAATTGGTAGATCATCTGAACATGCTGAAATTTGGTGTGCTAGCAGTTTCATCAAAATTGATATAAAAATAAGGAAGGCCAGTGCTGTTTTCCATGTATTGTGTAATCACATCCGCCATTAACAAATCAATTCAGAAGTTTCAGAAGTTTTGGAATGTACCAACTTTTTTGGGGAAAAATTTGGAAGTGACTTTAGAATTGAACTACCAGTGGCCCCTACCTGTGCCCCCTAGATTCGAAATGAGTTTTGAACCATTTTTTTGGATCAACCAAGCCTAATGGAGATTCCATCTGAACATTAGGAAGAACTTCCTGACTGTGAGAGATGTTCAGCAGTGGGACTCTGCCCCAGTATGGTGGAGGCTCCTTCTTTGGAAGCTTTTAAACAGAGGCTGGATGGCCATCTGTCAGGGGTGCTTTGAATGCAATATTCCTGCTTCTTGGCAGGGGGTTGGACTGGATGGTCCATGAGGTCTCTTCCAACTCTATGATTCTATGATTCTAATGGACACAGTTGTTAATAACCTGTATAGACCTTATGGGGAGTCCCAAAAGAAACACTGACAGGTTTGTTGGCTATTTGAGAACTACATGTCTAAAACTATGCAACTCAGAGGTACTGACCAACTGAGGTAATGACCAACATTATTTATTTATTTATTTACCTTACTTATATACCGCTGTTCTCAGCCCGAAGGTGACTCACAGCGGTTCACAACAAATACGAACAGCAAAAATTCAGTGCTACAGTATAGAAACAGTTAACAACCTAACACATTATACAATTAATAAACAGTTACTACAATACCCATTCACTGTCGTCTCGTCATCAAAAACATGTTCCAGATTCGTCATCCATTGTTCCATTTCAGTGTTCATTAACCAATCATTGCACTAATTATTCTAACGCCTGCTCAAACAGCCAGGTCTTCACCTTTTTGCGGAATACCATTAGGGATGGTGCTAGTCTAATGTCCGTAGGAAGGGCGTTCCATTCACATTACGGATGAATGATAAAAGTCAACTTTCTTTATAGCCAGATACTACAGAAAACCAGATTATCTTTGATAAAGTACTTTACAAAAATATTTTATGAATATAATAATCCACAACCCACCTGCAGGATACAGAAGTTTGTCTATAACGTGAATTACACCATTGGTTGCCATGAGATCAGATTCTTTTGATTGCTGTTCATTCACTAGGAGACTGTCATTTACCTAAGGATTAACCAACCAAGATGAAAAGAAAACAGAACACCATAACTTTTAAATAATAATTATCATAGTCTCTAATAGAGTTGAATCATGCATTTTCATAATGTCCAATATTTTATATAGTTAAGTCTCCATCATAAAATGGATTTGGATGTCATTACAAGGAATGTTAAATAAAGTGAAAAGGAAACTATTAAAATTTCTTGGAGGGTTTTTTAAAAATAACCTGTGGAATGCTCTCCATTTGGTTTTTCAGACTACTAATGTTAAGAGGAGGAGAGGAAGGAGAAATGGGATATGTGATAATATTTCCTTAAAGTTTACTTTCACTGCTCACCACTTTTAAGTACAGTTTGCCACCCTGAATAGTTTTGAGAATGTTGGTTACACCAGGTTCAAATCCACTTCCAATGAAAACTCCCTGAGTCAGATGATAAAGCAGAATATTCCGGAGAGCATTTTGGTCCCCTGGAAAAGAGAAAGGAGGGCATAAATGCTGCTGCATGAATAATATATCAAGCCCAATATCTTGTTTTCATGAACAAATACTACAGACAACTTGTTAGCTCCCTCCCCAATCTCCCTATATATGTAAAGAGGCTCAACAACCTCTAACAAGATTAAGGGCTCTTTTCACCCAAGGGAAAATTACACTATTATAACTAACAAGATTAATATTATCTCTAATGGGCTTTGCAGTACATCAGAAGTACAGTAATGTGTCATTAACCCCAGAAATTACAGCTATAATTGTATCTGGAATCCACACATCTACGAATGGGAGATGTGCATGAATCCCCACTTCAGCTGTTACTCTAGAAGAATAAAATGCAGAACAAAATTAGAGGTATGATTCCTTAGGAAAGAAATGGTTAAGATCCCACTTGCAGCGTTTGTGCAAATAAAACTTTGCTGAGGCCTGCATATACAGGTGAGAAACAGCTCAACTGCATCCACATGGCTTGTAGTGGGAAACATAGGCCTACATTGCCATATAATCCAGAAGAATATCAAAGCTGATAAATCGCAGTATCTGCTTTAAACTGGATTATGTGAGTCTATACTGCCATATAATCCAGTTCAAAGTAGAAAATTTAGATTTTATATGATAATGTAGAAGGGCCCACAATTAAGATGAGCATGTAATAGCAAACAAACAGGATGGGAAGGACTCTTCTCCAGTTATTGCTTCAGAAGAGCAAAGAATGGTGCCAGGATTGTTATCCAGTTAAAACAGTGGTTCCAAATTTTTGGTCCTCCAGGTCTTTTGAACTTCTGCTCCCACAATTTCTAACAGCTAGTAAGATGGCTAGCATTCCTGGGCGTTGAAGTCCAAAACAACTGGAGGACCAAAGCCTGGGAACCACTGCATTAAAAGGACTGCTGTCTTAAGTGATGTTCACTTCACAGACACTTCAAAAGCTTCTTTCTAGTTTTGGAATACTCAATATATCCTCAGCACAAGGAACTTCCTCCCTGAATTTTCAGGATGCATCTCCTAAAGCAAAACAGAAGTGCTGAAGAGCTCTGCAGCATCAATTCATTTCTTAAGTAGGGTTTAGGATCCTTCCACATACTAGAGCACTTACAAAAAGAAGTGGACTTCCATTTGTTTTTCGCATTCCATATAGCACTTACTGGGTCTTAGGGACAGAGAACTGGCCCCTTTACCCCCAAACAGGTGCAGCATTCTGGAAAATTCTTCCTTTAAATGTGTCCAAAATCAGGAGTTACATAGGAGCCATCAGCTACCACAGCCTGTCCAAAATCCTGTTACAATGTACTTACTCATCAGAGTCTGTTTGTCTTGTTCCGTCAAGCCTTTAAAAGCATCATTTGTTGGGACAAACAAAGTCCAGTCACCAGGTTGGGACAGAACTTCTTCTAAGTCTGCAGCTTCTACCAGGCTGAGGAATATGCTGGGAAAGAAAATAATGTATGAAACTAAGCCACTACAGTGTTACTTTGCTATTTTGCAGTTCACTTATTGCGGACTCGCTGTTTTGCTGTTTTTTGATCCCCCCGGAGCTGCGGGGGTGAGGGGATAAAACATCTCTGTCCTTGTCTTCGGCAGCTTTGGTCAGTTAATTTCAATCTGGAACTTTGGCTATTAGTTGTTAGCATTTCTTGCCAGGCAGAATCCTCAAAGCTTCTTGGCAGGGGGTTGGACTGGATGGCCCATAAAGTCTTTTCCAACTCTATGATTCTATGATTCTGTGATTCTATTGTGGTCTAGATTCTATATCAAAATTACTGATAGCAATCCTTCAGTCAGGAAAATGTAGGAATTTCATTTCCCCTCCAGAAATAAATAATTTGAGATTCAGTATTTCAAATTTTGTCTCGGTATCTATCATCTTCACTATTTAAAACCAAAATCTGTATCATAATGTCAAGCATTTTTGATGTGGCTAAAAAAAATCTCAATGTACCTGAATCGTTTATCAGATCTCAGTGTTTCATGAAGAGTCTTTTCTGCTGGTTGAATTAGTTGTCTGAAAACATGGATGAATCCATTCCTCCCCTCTTTGCTTCCTCGGATCATGCAAGAATTCTCAACACACACAGCCTAGCAAGGAAAAGAAGAACATTGCATAAGAGAAAGAGTGTTAGGGGAAAACATATAAACCATGATTTGGAATAATGCCTCTCCACAGTCTATGTGTTGTAATGTCAAATGTAATTAATCCAGAACATTTGCAAGTGATTTGTTTCCATTCTCACAGCAACAAGTATTTCTAAATGTGGCAATTTCTTGGTTGGCTGTACAAAATGAATCTTGAAAAAATATGTCCTTACAATCTGAGTGAGGCAACATTTTCCTAAATGGATGGACAGAGGGGGATTCGGATACTGACTGCTTGTTTGCAGTCTAGTGATAGACTTATAGATCTGTTGTGGGATTTTCAAGGGAACAAAGAAAAGGGTTGTGAAGGAACCATTCCCTGCACGATCCAGAGTTTGAACAATTCAACATGTATCCCTTTATTTTAATTTATTGCCAATGTAGTGCAACAGACTGAGATACAATTATTCATAGAATAAAATCTAAATATAAACAAGAGAGCAGAAAATAGAAGATAATTTGAAATGCACTTGAATAAACTGAAAATGTTTAGATACCGTTTTTCACCTCCTACACACATTATTTCTAAGGATGTCACATGCAGATGGTTCCAGGTGTGTTCAGAAATTTAAAAACCCTTTTGGTTTCTCCGATTCTTCAGAACATCAGGCTCACTATCTATCATTCTAAAAACCCAGTTTGACTGCTACATGGACTTCATCACATGATGTGGGGGACAGTGGATAATCCATAGGGCAGTGGGGCAAAGTGTGGGGCAGCGGGGCGAATCTGTCAATAAGTACCTCACATTGCCCACTGCACTCACTTGCTCATCACATGCCAGAAAGTGTACATTTCTAGCTTGCTTCCATGCTGTCCAATCTGAACACGAGTAGTCTCACGTGTTCAAACTTCTCTGTCGTAGAACACTTCACCAATGCAGTCAGCATGGAAGTAGCAGTGCATCATGTGACTGGATCTGGCAAGCTCCATGGTGGCTGTGCTGGCAAAGTGTTTGAGGATGGGTAAATTTCCCAATGTGATAAGGTCCCATGTGTTCCCTGAAACATTTTTTTAAACTTAACACTTGTGTATAAGCTGACTTCATGTATATGTAAAGAGTTCATATTTGGCCCAGAATTATGGATTTTGATATGATCTGTGGACAAGTTGCAGCTCATTCCAGGGAGAGGGAATCAGTCACCCTGGCCACTGCCATTTTCCAATTGAAGCATTCCAAAAGCTGGAGAGAGCAGAGGGGATTGATGCTTCTTTTGTGTTTTTCCTTGATCAACTAAGCTTTTGCTATTCACTATTCTACTCAGAGAAGGGGATAGTTATCTTTTTAAAATAAGAGATAAGATACAGCACTTACTTTGATCCATGGGTATGTAGACCCAGGTTACGATTTTGACTAACATTTCTAGAGTTATGCATGAGTAAATAAAGTATGTAGCCAGTACAAAAATCTCCTTGTAGTCAGATTCTTCTCTTTAAAACAGAAGTAGATAAACTTCTAGATGTTCTTCAACTACAACTTCTATCCTTTTTCACTACTTGTTTTGCTGGCTAGGAGTGCTGTGAGTGCAGTCCAATTACATCTGAAGGGGCAAACTTTAACTACCCCTGCTTTAAACCAGAGCTTCTCTCAAACATTGACGATCTTATGTCTTCTACAAAGTGAGCGCCTCTGTGTTTATTGTGATTTACGCCCAGGGAAGAATGTGTTGCATTCTTAAATTTCCTGTATATTAATAAGCCACTTTTAATAAACTTTCTATAGAAATACATGATTAACCTGAGGAACAGTCTCTTGTTATTTAAATGGTTTCAATATGCTTTTCATATCTCAAATGATTTCCAAAATTTACCCTTGCTTACCGTGCGATAAACAAACACTCTGAGCTTCTTCCCTCCCAGAGTCTCCAAGAATTGCCCATTGTAGAGGTCATTTAGACCAATTTTCACTTTCAAAATGTGATTCTGAAGAATCAGCTTAAGGATCCGCTGGTCCATCGCCAAGGTGTCATCTAAGTGTTTAGGTATAACAAATACACTATGTTTTCATTAATGTTATCTTATGCATAAAACATTTAGGATAATCTCAGATACAATTATAATGCTATTCATCCTCACAATACAATTTTTGGTTTTGCTTTTTCAGTCTGAGATAGAAATTGCCCAAGATCCTCATGTTCACTTATATGATGGAGATGCATGGACTTGTAGTGGAAGGAATAAACAGTTCCAGACTCTATTGTCTTACAATGACGATAATCAAACCCACAGAACTGCCACTGAGAACCATCAAGCCCACAAGGAGTTTTTTTTTAGAATAGCTAGATAAATGCAAAAGTGGTTTCAACAAGCCTTTGACCAGTTCTAGCCCAGCCCCAAACATTGTTGAATATGGCCTCATACTTCCTACCTATTACCCCAGCCATCCCTCTAATAGCTCCTAGAAATGAGCAGCCCCAGGCCTGTACCTACTATTGCTGTTAGCCTGTTATAGCGTTGTACTTAATTCCCGGCCCCCTCATATTTCGAGTTTGCACAAGCCTCGGCCCAGTCTTTTAATTGCTCTGAACAGGCAGGATTATTTTTATATATATGTGTGTTATTGTGATAATTTTATGCTTATGTTGTTTTGTTAATATTATGTTATGCAGTTTACTCTGTATGTTTTGGTGATGTTACTTGGAAACTGCCCTGAGTCCCCCTCGGGGAGATAGAGTGGTATATAAATAAAGTTTATTTATTTATTATAAGAAATGGCAAAGAATATCAAAACATTTTCTCATTCTGACAAAAATAAACTAACTGCATGGGTTTCAAGGTGGTAAAGTTTATTGATTAGTCCACTGACCATAGCAACAGTAAGACAAAAACAACCCCCCTCCCCAAATAGACACTAATCATTGTCCTAAAACTCCTGTAATAGTGAACTAACATACATTAAAACACAATTAAAACACAATTTAAAATATCATAATTAAAGTGTCAAGGTAAAACTTCATACCACAGAAGTTAAGGACAAAGGTTAAAACAAAGGTTAAAATAGATCAAATAGACACAATCCCAATCCAGTTCAGATATTTATTTATTTATTTATTTGACTTGTATACTGCTACTCCCAATTTGGCTCGGAGCGATTTACAGCAATAGATTAAAACAATACAATTAACTTTAAAATACAATAAAGCAAGAACAGACATAGTCCCGAGTTATTCACCCATCGAAAGCTTGTCGGAAGAGGTTTTACAGGCTTTCCGAAAAGCAACTAGGTCTCGGATAGTTTGGGTTTCAACTGGCAAGGCATTCCATAAATAAGGGGCTACAATTGAAAAGGCTCTCTGCCTAGTAGAGGACAGATAAGTCCGGATGTTGGGGACTTCAAGCAAATTTTGGTCTTTGGACCGAAGTAATCTCTGGGGTTGGTAGGGGGATAAGCGAGCCCTCAGGTATGCCGGCCCCAGACCATATAAGGCCTTAAAGGTTAGTACCAGCACCTTGAAAGTAATCCGGTACTCAATCAGTAGCCAGTGCAGCTGCTGTAGAATTGGGGTGATACAACACCTCACAGGTACCCCGGCGAGAAGACGAGCCGCTGCATTTTGCACCAGGTTCAGTTTCCGGATCACTGACAAAGGAAGGCCAATGTAGAGGGCGTTACAGTAGTCAACCCTCGAGACGACCGTCGCCTGGATCACCGTAGCCAGGTCGTTCCTAGATAGGTAGGGAGCCAGTCGCCTAGCCTGATGTAGATGGAAAAACGCAGATCTGCTCACAGCAGAGACCTGGGCCTCCATTGTGAGCAGAGGGTCCAATAAGACACCAAGACTTTTTACAGAAGGTGATAGAAGTAGTGTCTCGCCATCCAGGGTAGGCAGCTGGATCTCCCTCCCACCTGAACAGCTCAGCCAAAGGATCTCTGTCTTCGCTGGGTTCTCCCTCAACCTGCTGGGATGCAACCATCCAGTAATGGCCTCAAGGCACTGATGGAAATTTTCGGGTACAGAGTCCGGCCGGCCCTCCATCCTCAGAATGAGCTGAGTGTCATCAGCGTACTGGTGGCACTCAAGCCCAAAGCTCTGCACCAGTCGGGCAAGCGGTCGCATATAGATGTTAAATAATAGAGGAGAGAGAATAGCTCCCTGCGGGACCCCACAAGTTAGCGGAGATCTCTCGGAAACCATCCCTCCCCTCACCACACGCTGTCCCCGATTCTGGAGGAAGGAGGACACCCATTTAAGGGGTATCCCCCTAACCCCAGTCATGGCTAGGCAGTGGGTCAATAGATTGTGATCGACCGTATCAAATGCTGCTGTGAGGTCCAATAACACAAGCAGCGCTGATCTGCCTTGATCAGGACACCCACTTAAGGGGTATCCCCCTAACCCCAGTCATGGCTAGGCGGTGGGTCAATAGATTGTGATCGACCGTATCAAATGCTGCTGTGAGGTCCAATAACACAAGCAGTGCTGATCCGCCTTGATCCATCTGGCAGCGGAGCTGATCTGTGATGGCAACTAGCACAGTCTCTGTCCCGTGCCCCCTACGGAAGCTGGACTGGAAGGGATCAAGTCTGGCTGTGTCATTTAGGAACTGCTGCAACTGTTCCGCTGCTGCCCTCTCAACCACCTTGCCCAGAAACGGAAGGTTCGAGACTGGGCAGTAGCTAGAGGGAACCGAACGATCTAAGTCTGGTTTTTTCAGCAGCGGAGATACCATCGCCTCTTTTAAACCCTCTGGAAAAACTCCTTGCTCAAGGGAGCTATTTATTATATTCAACAGAGGTTCACGTAATCCCTCCAGGCAAGATTTTACTAGCCAGAAGGGACACGGATCAAGGCTGCAGGTGGTCGGCCTAGTTGCAGTCATGATCCTATCGACAGCCTCTGCATCTAGCGGCGTGAGGATGGGCCCAGCGAGTGGCCACGGAGTCTCAAGTTCACTTACTGTATCAATCGTGGCAGGGACCACCGCTATAGTTTACCCAATCGCAGTTCTCACCTGCGTTGCTTTATGTATAAAAAGAGCTGTTGGTGTGTTATCTTAGCATCCTGGCCAGCCATTAAAATGTAGTTTTGTTATGGGGATCCCAGTGAGTCTTCTGTGTAATGAATGGTCAAAGGTATTGATTTCTCTCTTTCTTGTACAAAATACAACTAAACAGTACATGATACAAAATTGTTCGTTATATGGAACCTTCCATGTTTAACCATTGTATCTGTTTGTTCAAATCTGGTTCTAGTGAATATCCTCCTGAGATGTTTAGGCATTTCTGTCTTTAGGTGTTCGGCCGATTGAAATGTTTGTTTGAAGCGACTTAGCCATTTCAGTGAGCCGGCTTTACTAAGATATCCTGTATTTATTGTGCCACTGTTTTTGGGTCTAGTTCTTTTAGATTTGGATATAAAATTGGAAGTCCCAATGTATTTTGTCAGTTGAGCTAGCCAAGAGGACTGATGTTGATTTTTGGTCTGCTCTAACAGGCACAGTTTTGATAGTCTATCATTTGCAATGGCATTTAGTTTTAACCAATATTTATATGCCCTAATTTTGGATAAACCATCAACTGTGTATACTCCCATTTCTGCTATAACTGCTGCAGTTGGGGTCCTTTTATCCACTCCCAGAAAGTTACACAGGTGCTGTGCTTGAGATTGCTCTAATAATGATACTTCCAGACTTCCACACTGTACAGGAGTATGGGGGTAACCTTAGCCTTATACACTTTAAGAAGCATGTCTAAGGATCCTGGTTGGCTATGATGTGTTAATTTTAGCAGTTGATTTGCTCATACTCTCGCTCTGGCTGAGCTCCTTTAATGGTGTGGGAACCAGGAAAAAATTACTTGGAAAAAATTACTCCTAGGTACGTAAAAGTGTGAACTTGCTCTATTGGTTCACCATCCAGAAGCCATCTATGATTATTATGTCGTTTGCCAAATATCATTATTTTTTACTTCGATTTATTGATAGGGAGTACTTATGAAAATAGGAATTAAATCTTCTCAGCAACTTACGTAGCCCAACTTGCGAGTGTGACAATAATATCATGTCATCAGCATATAACAGGATGTTAATGTGTGTTTTAAGCACCCGAGACTGGGTCCTTCAACTGTTCAGATAGATAATTTACATATAAGCTAAATAACAGTGGTGCTAATATACAGCGTTGTCTAGCCCCTTTGTGTGTTTCAACACTGTTTGTCATGACTCTTTGCAACTCAGATCGCACTTTCAGGTAGTTGTTTGTGTAAAGTGCTTTGATCAGTGTCAGCAGCCTGGGTTCCATATTGAGATCAGTTAATTTAATCCATAACATATCTCTATTTACAGTATCGAATGCTGCACTAAGGTCTATAAAGGCGGCATACAATTGTTTCCCTTTGTTGGCATAGTTTGTAGTTATGTGTCAATAGTTGATTCACACTGCCTGAAGCTGGCCTGTTCTTCAGGCCAGTTCAGGCAGATGCATTTTTCGTTTTCCCAGCCCTCAGCTCTGCTCAGGAGGTATCTGGTATATATTTTGGCCATTATATCAATTAAACTAATCAGTCGATAAGAACCAGGATCTTATTTGTTTCCTTTTTTGTATATGGGAACAACTATTGCCATCTTCCAACCAACTGGGATCTGACAGGTGTTATTTATGTGTGTAAATAGGTCTGCTAATAAAGAGGCCCACCAGTCCAGGTATTTTTTGAATAGCTCAGCACGTAGATAGTCTTCCTCTGGGGCTTTATTGGTCTTTGGGTCGTTTATGATACATCTGATCTCATATTCTGTTACTGGAGGTCAATGGAGTAGGGCTTCTATTGGTAAATCTTTAACTGGAGGTTGCGTCACTGTGGTTTCTGATGAAACAAACAAGTGGGTATAGTAATTTTCCCAGTCCTCTATGAGATAGGTATATTAAATGCAAATTTTCGTTCTTCAAAATTCCAGTTACTACATGCCAAAAGATAGCCAAGTTATTACTCTAAGCTGAACACTCGAGTCTGGACCAGATTGAGACTGCATGATTCTTCCTTTTTGCTTTAACAAGTTTCTTGTATTCTCATCTCAGGGTCAACATTTTGGTTTGCAAATGTGTAGAATTGTTGCCATCATCTTTGTTCTCAGAAGCTGGCATTCTTTGTCAAACCAGAGTGCTCTGCTCATTTGAGGACCTTTAGGAAAGGCTTTTGTTACAAGATGTTCCTTTAGGCTACCACAAATATTTGTGAATGCATTAGAGACTGTCTGCCACTCAGCTGAGGGTGACTGTATTAGTAAGGCCCCCTGTGCTATATCCTCTGATTTGAGGGTATTCACTATTGCCACCATGTCTACATGTATTGCCTCATTGTTGGCCGTAATCCAATTATCGTTCCTATTGTTTGACCTTAAATTTGAAGGGCCCAAAAATTTTACACACACTGGTTGACACACTTTCTCCCCTCAAAAGCACATTGATCTGTGAGAAAAGATCGGCCTTATCTGCTGAAAACACATATGAAATCTAAGGCACTGCTTGTGTGGCTGGAATGAAATGTGTAAGGATGTACATAGTCCTGATTGTTATAATTATTCTTACCTCCTAGGATTTGTAAATTACACTTAGAAATCAATGAAAGCAGGCTTATACCAGCCCTATAGAACTTTTTGTCTCTGGAATACCATTGAGGGTGGTTGTTAATAAAATCATGTGGGAGACCACCATATTGAGCTAGTTCATGAATGGATAGCCCTAACTGAGCATTAAAGTCTCCCAGTAAATTAATCGTTGCTTGTGATTACATAGCTGTTAATTCTTCCACCATTATTTCTAACTGTACCCAGGTATCAGGACTATAATAAGAGGATGTGCCTATTGGGATTAAAAACATTTATCAATATAAACTTCATTTCTTTATGACTGAACTTAATAGCCAATATGTTGTGGTTATCATCCCCTATGACCAATCCTTCCCCTTGTCATTGTAATTTCTCCTTAATACATATACATAAGACCCTTATTCTCTCTTTTATAAGCAGATGTGTACCAACATTGAAATCCGGGTATTGTATTAAGTCACTCACTCCTACTAACCAAGATTCTTTTAATGCTAATATCTCAAAATCAGATAGGGTTTCAACATACTGAGACACTCACATCCAAACTGTTCATTTCTACAGATTATAAAGACTATAAAGTTTTTATAGTCTTCCTCATTTCATATAGCTGTGCAAAAAGCATGAGGCATCTCTCATTTCTAGTGCCGAAAATATTTTTGGCTTCCTTACCTGAAAAAGCCCCATTTAGTGGAGCTAGGAGGGTATATTCTTCCTCTGGTCTCAGAGATGCAGCCAAACCAACCTGAGACACTAAATCTTTGAAGGTAGCTTGTTGTGGACCAGCAAGCTCAATAACTTGTTTAGCTGGAAATGAGACAAGAGGACACATGTTTAGCTGGAAATGAGACACATGTTTTCTACATCATAGAAATTCATATAGTTATATTTGTTAGCGGAGGCAATAAATATCTTATTTGTTTAACAGAGTAAAAGACCAGCAATGGTTAGATGGTCAGAGATCACAAGAAAAAGTGTATATTAGAGATCAACTATATGCCACTCACCTGAGTCAGGAATAAGCACTTGGTCTATGAGGTGAATTACACCATTGCTTGTCACAATATCTTTGCGACTGACCATCTTGACTCCATTAATTGTCAAGCTTTCACCATCACAGCCAATTTCAACTGTGTTGCCTTCCATGGTCTCAAAAGATGCACCTCCCATGATAGCTTCAGAGCACTGAAGAGAGTTCAAAATGTGGAATTTCATCATAGCTGATTAGGGAAGAAATCAAAAAGAGTCATGTGTTTAGGCAATGTTTGAGGGGTTCATGGTTGAGATACAGCAAATCTTTTAGAAAATACAATATTACTATAATGAAGTGTTCTGAAGGGATGATTTATTGTATCATAAATATAACAAGACTGCAGCAATGTGGCAACCAAAGTTATTTCTGATTATTAGAGAAGACGTTTAGGTTTCAAATGTATATAGCAGCCCTTATGTTTAAAGTTGAGTACTATCAATTTTGCAGAAGCATACGAGAAGCTCGGCCTGTCATTGAACATTGAGAAAATCTTCCAGCAGTCACCAGCCAACCCCTCTCCAATGCCAGAAATACAGCTTAATGGTGTAACATCAGAAAATGTTGACATTTTCTGCTACCTTGGCAGCCACCTCTCCACAAAAGTCAACATTGACACCAAAATATAACACCGCCTGAGCTCTGTGAGTGCAGCATTTTTCCTAATGAACTAGAGAGTGTTTGAGGACCGCGACATGCATAGGGATACCAAGGTGCTTGTTTATAAAGCTATTGTCCTCCCAACACTGCTACATGCCTGTGAGACGTGGACTGTCTACAGACGTCATATGCAACTGCTGGAATGATTCGATCAGTGCTGCCTCCGGAAAATCTTGCAAATCTCTTGGGAAGACAAGCAGACAAATGTCAGCATGCTGGAAGAAGCAAAGACCACCAGCACTGAAGCCATGGTCCTCTGCCATCAACTCCACTGGACCGGCCACATTGTTTGGATGCCTGACCACCATCTCCCAAAGCAGTTGCTCTACTCCAAACTCAAGAATGGAAAATGGAATGTTGGTGGGCAGGAAAAGAGATTTAAAGATGGGCTCAAAGTGAACCATAAAAGCTCTGGCATAGACACTGAGAACTGGGAAGCACTGGCCTTTGAGTGCTCCAACTGAAGGTCAGCTGTGATCAGCAGTGCTGTAGAATTTGAAGAGGCATGAATGGAGGGCGAAAGGGAGAAACATGCCAAGAGAAAGGCACATCAAGCCAACCCCAACCGGGACCGCCTTCCACCTGGAAACCGATGCCCTCACTGTGGGAGAATCATAGAATCATAGAATCAAAGAATCAAAGAGTTGGAAGAGACCTCATGGGCCATCCATCCAACCCCCTGCCAAGAAGCAGGAATATTGCATTCAAATCACCCCTGACAGATGGCCATCCAGCCTCTGTTAAAAGCTTCCAAAGAAGGAGCCTCCACCATACTCTGGGGCAGAGAGTTCCACTGCTGAACAGCTCTCACAGTCAGGAAGTTTTTCCTAATGTTCAGATGCTTGTAGTTTGAAGTCATTGTTTCACATCCTAGTCTCCAGGGAAGCAGAAAACAAGCTTTCTCCCTCCTCCCTGTGGCTTCCTCTCACATATTCATACATGGCTATCATAGCTCCTCTCAGCCTTCTCTTCTTCAGGCTAAACATGCCCAGCTCCTTAAGCCACTCCTCATAGGGCTTGTTCTCCAGACCCTTGATCATTTTAGTCGCCCTCCTCTGGACACATTCCAGCTTGTCAATATCTCTCTTGAATTGTGGTGCCCAGAATTGGACACAATATTCCAGATGTGGTCTAACCAAAGCAGAATAGAGGGGTAGCATTACCTCCTTAGATCTAGACACTATGCTCCTATTGATGCAGGCCAAAATCCCATTGGCTTTTTTTGCCGCCACATCACATTGTTGGCTCATGTTTAACTTGTTGTCCACGAGGACTCCAAGATCTTTTCCACACGTACTGCTCTCGAGCCAGGCATTGTCCCCCATTCTGTATCTTTGCATTTCGTTTTTTCTGCCAAAGTGGAGTATCTTGCATTTGTCCCTGTTGAACTTCATTTTGTTAGTTTCGGCCCATCTCTCTAATCTGTCAAGATCGTTTTGAATCCTGCTCCTGTCCTCTGGAGTATTGGCTATCCCTCCCAATTTGGTGTCGTCTGCAAACTTGATGATCATGCCTTCTAACCCTTCATCTAAGTCATTAATAAAGATGTTGAACAGGACCGGGCCCAGGACGGAACCCTGCGGCACTCCACTTGTCACTTCTTTCCAAGATGAAGAGGAAGCATTGTGAGCACCCTCTGGGTTCGTCCATTTAACCAATTACAGATCCACCTCACCGTAGTTTTGCCTAGCCCACATTGGACTAGTTTCCTTGCCAGAAGGTCATGGGGGACCTTGTTGAAGGCCCTACTGAAATCCAGGTACGCTACATCCACGGCATTCCCCGCATATACGCAGCTTGTAGCTCTATCGAAGAAAGAGATCTTGATTAGTCTGGCATGACTTGTTTTTGATAAATCCATGTTGACTATTAGCGATGACTGCATTTGTTTCTAAGTGTTTGCAGACCACTTCCTTAACAATCTTTTCCAGAATCTTGCCTGGTATCGACGTGAGGCTGACCGGATGGTAGTTGTTTGGGTCATCCTTTTTTCCCTTCTTGAAGATTGGGACCACATTGGCCCTCCTCCAATCTGCTGGAACTTCTCCCGTTCTCCAAGAACTCTCAAAGATGGTTGCCAATGGTTCCGAAATGACTTCCGCTAGTTCCTTCAATACTCTGGGGTGTAGTTGATCTGGCCCTGAGGACTTGAACTCATTAAGAGCGGCCAGGTATTCCTGGACGACTTCTTTCCCAATTTGGGGTTGGATGTCCTCCAATCCCTCATCCACTCCATCTTGCTGAGGTTGAAGACTCTCTTTTTGTGAGAAGACCGAGGCAAAGAAGGCATTAAGTAGTTTTGCCTTTTCCCTATCCCCTGTCAGCATTGCCCCATCTTCTCCTCGAAGAGGGTTTTCTAGGCTAATTTAGCTATGGGACTATTTATTATTTATTTATTATTTATTTACTTTATTTGTATACCGCTCTTCTCAGCCCTTAGGCGACTCAGAGCGATTTACAACAATTTAGGTATACACAATACAAAATCATTAAGCATTTAAAAACAATAGCATCACAAATCATTAAACATCAATATCAATACATCACTACATCAATATAACAAATCCATCAGGTCTCATCAATGAAATCAGAATCCAAACTCGTTATCCGATATTCCATGTTCCGATAGTCAGTCAATCAATCACACTGCTTAGTCGAATGCCTGTTCAAACAGCCAGGTCTTTACTTTCCTCAGGAATGCCAGCAGGGAGGGGGTCGATCTAATATCTGCAGGAAGGGCGTTCCACAGCCGAGGGGCCACCACTGAGAAGGCCCTGTCTCTCGTCCCCGCCAGGCATGCTTGTGAAGCCGGCGGGATCGAGAGCAGGGCCTCCCCAGACGATCTTAATGTCCTAACTGGTTCATAGGAGGAGACGCGTTCGGACAGGTAGGTCGGGCCAGAACCGTTTAGGGCTTTAAAGGCTAAAGCCAGCACTTTGAATTGTGCCCGGTAGCAAATTGGCAGCCAGTGGAGCTGCCGCAGCAGTGGAGTGGTATGCTCCCTGAGTGCCGCTCCTGTTAACATCCTGGCTGCCGATCGTTGGACCATTTGAAGCTTCCGAGCAGTCTTCAGAGGCAACCCCACGTAGAGAGCGTTGCAGTAGTCTAGTAGTAGATAGTACTATATATACTCATGTACAAGTTGACATTGTGTTTAACTCAAGGACAAGTTTGGGGGAGGACAAAATTATAGATTTTAATTGTCTGTGGATAAATTGAGAAGTTCCTCAGAGAGGAGAAGCCCTATGTACCTTGGGCCGTTAGCTTTCCTGGCCACTGCCATTTAAAGAGGTGCATTGGAGAGAGTATAAAAAGGGCAGTGCTTCTTTGAACTTCTCCCAGGATGGACTAAGTACTTGCCTTTTGTTCCTTGATTCAGAGAGAGGTATGGTTCCCTTTTCAGTAAAAGTTCACATACAGTAGCGGTATATACATTCCCCCCCCCCCCCCTTGTCCATTATATTTTATTTTGTACAGTTCTACCAAATGTCAATGTGTTATACATAACAGCCTTAACAGTTGTACATATATTGCCAACATAAGCATCTTACAGAAATTAAGAAAATTGTGTGCATGATTAAAGATAATAGCATAGAATAAATAAGTGATCGAACGGAGGGAGGGAGGGAGAAGGGGTGGGCAACATAGGTGGCTTTAACACTAAAAATTAGTTAAATGTTAATTTTTAAAGGATGTATATAAGAAAACTATGTCAACAGTCTGTTGAATGAAAGTGGAATGTATTTACATTGACCCGTGGATAAGTCAATCTAGAAATTTTGGTTCAAGTTTTTAACTTAATTTTAGACTTATTCATAAATATACAACATATATTTTCTATGGATGTAAATAAATATTTTAAATTAAAACTGAGACTGTGGTCCAAACTATAAGAACAACATAAGAAGCAAATGGTGTCCTAAATTATGGGTTTTTCTTCCCAATATATACACCATTTACCTAACATTCAGAATAGCTGCCATAAACTAATCAGTATTGATCCTACAAGGAATGCCATAATCTTTATCGTCTTGGTGCATAGTGCTTGGTGGGGAAGCCCTGAATAGATGAGAAAAATGTCTTGCCTAAGAGGGTTTGTGCTGACTTTGGTTCTGAGGTTTTGCTGCTTCACAGCTCAGCCATGTGCCATCTATTAGTGAACCAAACTCAGCATCAACTGGCACAGAAACCTCAATATAGACAACATTTTCAAGTCACTAAAGGGTTCTTCTAGTTAGCAGCTACAAACCAAAGCCATAACAAAATGAAGACATCAGCAAAACTCAAAACCAGAAACCACAACAGAAAATCATCTTAAGACATAACTAGTTTGGAATGGGGAAAATGGCCCAGATTGCCTTTGAGCATTTTGTCACATTTCCATAGATTTCCACTCATGGTGTCCAGTTTCTATATCGGTCTTCACTTTTAAAAAATGAAATGCATGTACAGTCAGCCCTCCACATTTGTGGGTTTGATTTTTGGGGATTTAAGTAATATGTTATCTCTAAGAATTTTTAGGTCCTCCAT